TGCGACGGAACAATGTACTGAGTGCTACTTGCTCTTGTACAGTGGGAGAAGCAATTTGCTGTCATTCTTTAGCATTGTTGTACTGCACTGCGCATTTCAGCAATCTCCAACTAAAGAAATTCCCCCCAGCTATTACTGGCACTATGCAATTACAATCATGGCATCATCCAAGAAGCGAAAGATTCAAGCAGCTGCCTATCCAAAAAATTATTATTCAAAATCCATCAGAACAATTCGCAGCACTCTACACAAACCTGGAAGAATCCTGCAATGGCAGAGCTTTCTAAATTTTAGTCAATATAATATTCAGTTAAATACAATTTTGCCGTCAAATCCATCTTCTGTTGGAAGTATTTCAACAAATTTTGGACAAGCACTTATATTGGCTTATTAGAAGTCAAATGCCCTTTGTCTGACACTTTTGACAAGGTTTCTTGTCTTTTTAAAAATAATAAAGGGGAATGGACATTGAAAATGAATCATGATTATTATTTTCAAATAAAGGGGTGTTTAGGAATCACAGGACTCAAGTGGTGTGACATCATTATTCTTTTACCTTCGGGTGCATGTTTTCTTGATCGCATATATTTTGATGATGCATATTTTCTGGACCTACAAATGCGTCTGGAATCCTTTTTTTTATGATCATTTCATAAATACGGTTGCAACAAACATGTCATCTTGAGGACAAAAATTTTTCACTTTGTGAAATGTCTGAAGGATAATTATATATCAAGAGAAAAAACTTGCCTAGGCATTTATGTATTTTATTGCTTTAAATTTAGAATGTAGTAACCAGTTGCTTTGGGCTTTCAACTATTTTTCAATAAATTAGTATTTTGTGTATTCGCCATAGTGCAATTTGTTGAAAACAGGTGAGAGAGGCAGTACAAAAGGCTATTCTGAATTTTCCCTTTTCTTTTACTGTTAACCTAATATAATGTTGTGACACCCACACCCTCTGCTGTATATTCTAACAAAGCTAAGATTTTTAAAGGAACATAAAATATGTCCTGAATGTATTTGATAAACTAAACTGCTCGAACTAAAAATAATTATTTAACAATAAACAAACTAAAACTCAAAAATAAAACTAAATACCTACTTCTAAAACAAAGAACCGCTAAAGTTGGTTAATAAGCAAACAACGGTCCATAGTTGAATAACTGTTCCCAGCATACTCAGTGGTATTCTGCCTTTGAATAACTGATATTCTTTCACCCTTCTGATTGCTCGTTCTACGTGGACTCTAAGTGAAGCAATCTTGCTGGACCGCAATGCCTCCTCATATGTGAACCGCCCGTTAAAGTTGAATGGAGGAATATTTAGACCCACACCTTTCACTTGACTCCTGATGGCAAATCTTTCGTCGCACATTACGGAATCCCCTCTTTCAAGCAAACTCAAAATTCCAGATCTCCGGGTTATTCCACTGTCTGATATGCTACCGCAAAATAATAAACTGACAAAAGTTATTGGACCATGGGGAGCAATACCCAATAAACATTTTAATGTTGTATGGTTTTTATAAAATGAAAAAAACTCACTTTGGAGCATGAGTGAAGATGGTGACTGGCATAAAATTTCACAACAGTCAAGGACTATGCGTGTAGATCCATAACCTTAGTTTTTGAAACACTGTGGCATATTTTCATAAACCTGCACACGAGTAGGCCAAATTGGGATAGATGCCAAGGTAAAATAAAGAAAATTAGCCCACGTGATAACTATCCGAGAGACAATGGATTGTGATATGCAAAAAACATCACTAAGATGGATCTCATCAAAGCCCTGTCTCAGACGACACAAAAATAAAAACAGTTCATCAGCCAGTGGAAGCAATCGCTTCTTACAATGGTGGTCTAAAAAATCGCTACTTCCATTATAAACTTCTTCGCTTACAGCAGACCATAGTGTTAAAGAGTTAGTACAGTCCAACAATATGTGGAAAAAGTCAATCAATAAACAATAGGAACTAAAGCCAGTATAATATTTAATCATGGGGCTTGACGCCTTGAAACGTTCCATACCGAATTTAGATATTGACAGCTTTGAAACTTGAGTTTTTAATAAATTCTCAATTTCTTTTAAAGCTTGCTTAAGTTTTTCTTCAGCTGTTTTCACTACAATGCAGTAGTTGTGATCCACTTGAGCAGGATTAATGTGATTAAAACTCAGACTGCTTGGTACAGTGGCATCATCAGTGGTTCTGAACAAATATAATAAAATTCATTAGCAAAGAAATCACATATTCATCCTGGGGAAAGGAAGGATGATAAGACGGCTCAATTATATGATGAACCAGATATCGGTGAAAAGTCATATTGTACCCAAATTACAGCTCCAAGTATTGAATCCTCTGCATTGCATGTATATGTGTAAATCAAAAACAAAATTGTATTTTTGTGCGTTTCAGTGTTGCTGAAAGTTTGTGTACTCACAAAAAGATTTGAGTCATTTTTTTCAAATGAGTTGAATCTGGACCAGGGTGGTGCAAACCCAGGCCCGCGGGTCACATGTGGCCTGCCGCTCCATTATCTGTGGCCCGCATCACATTCGGAGAGAATCAAAAAATCGCATTTTGTAATAAAATTATTCAGAAAAATATTTTTACATCTCTAATGGCACTGAATTGACTATTGTTATGGCTAGCTGTGAGGCAACTAGCAAAGTTGAATGATGTGCTTGGTAGTCTAAATTAGTATCTGGCTTTCTATCTTTTTCGTCTTCATATATGCTAACAATGTAGGCATCATAGAAAACTAAGAACCGAATACGGATTCTATTAGCCAGAGCAGGCTATGTCTTATAACTATGTGTTTGCACAATGAAAGTGTTTATTTTGTATTGCACTGTTTACTGCCCAATCAACCAGCAGGGTCTGCCACTAGAAGCTGTTGCCACATTCTTTATTTCTACAATACCGGAACACAGCACAGTTCGTCACGCAGAGGTGGAAGGTGGTTTTAGGTGGAACCAAAGCGTAACTATATATAATATATGGGTGGAACAAAGTCACTTTGAGGTTGAATAGCCTGTTATTATAAAGCATAATTCCCATGATTACGATTCGGAAGAGCTGAAATCTGGAAGGGGTGAATTCTACATGACAGGTTAGATTGTGAATATGTACGGCCGGTACCGGTACCTATGGGAAAGTGCATTTTTTATTTCACCTTATACATTGTAATAGCAGAATCTGGCAATAGCATAACTGCAAACGGAACAATTCCTCAGCTGAAAGTATAAGCACATATCTAGTCTTTGGTGACTGATGATTGAGAACGGTACTGAAACAGTGAAACTTATAGTCGAAGATGTTTTGAAAATTGAAACATAGACTATACCTGTGGTGAACTGAAGCTTGGTATATTTGCTGTTTGCCAAAATTTTCTCCTAGTATTAAATTTTGCCGGGTATGCTGACAGCTGAACTAAGCGGCACAAAGATAAAACACAAGAAAACTATCATAATATATATCAAATTTGCAGTGTTTTTATGTAGATAATATACGGTACACAGTATTCAGGGTGGCGTAAGAACCCGCTTTTGGAATGTGATAATCAGCGACCCATTTTTGATTTTAGAACTATAAGTTTGGCAGGGTTTTCTGAAATGACAGAACTGAAATGACTGCTCTTCGTGAGTTCAATACAAGAGCAAATCTGTTCTTAAAAAATTTTAAATCCCACAACTGTATACAGTATCTCGACGTCACGAATCATGCTGAATACCCAAAGTCTTAACCATGATGGCTCAATCAGTATAGTGATCTTCACTTCTGAATTCAATCAAGTGTGCAAACAACTAATAATGCATTTATTTCATGGATTTTATGCGAGAACTGCCCTAGGACAAAAAAGATTGTCATTCCACAAAAATGCTAATGCCAAATCTTTTTGTAACGTTGTTGCACAACATTTTTAAACCAGACAAAATTTAACTTTCAGACGTATCAATGCATGGTAACTGTTGGTACTGTCAATAAATTGAATAACAAGTTTAAGCAATGCAAATATTTGGCAACAAAAACTGTCTCAAACATTTTTCCATAGGTGCTCTTGTTTTATTGTCCTCTATCTGTGAACTTCTCATCATTTTGTTGTCAGAATAATAAATTTAAGGTGTGCTCCTCAAACAATTTCAAATCATGCCTGATGTAGTTTTGATGTTCAAAGCGAAGTTTTTATATCTGTTATTCTTAAACTACAAGTAACCATTTGAAATGTATATGCTGCCTGTGGATTGATTCTATACAATTCTTTAATTAAAATATATCTGCATGTGTTATTGATTTGCCAGGACCACCCTAATAATATCATTTTAGTCAGTGACCCAAATATCAATTATATTTGAAATCATCACTTGGCTTATTCAGCAATGTACTGTAATTCATCCCATTTGACTTTTGTTAAGAAGGAGTAATGTCACTAGATTGTCAGTACAGTACAGTACAAAAAAAAGTGCTTGTGGATCCAAAAATCCTCATTTGTCTCACTATCATTACTTCCATCTGTATAAAGTCTGTATCAATATTCGTACTCTGAACAAGACTCAAAGACAAGCAGTGACTGATATCGGTCCAAAATCAGCTATCCATTGTTTTACTCCATGACGACATAGGCATTGTAACTCGGATCTCACCATGCTAAGATGATTAAGTCCTGCGCCTCAATCACTATGCCCTTCACACTATGAGAAAGTTGTTGTAGATGTTTTTTTAATCATACATGTAGTATGTGTTTTAGATATAAATTTATTTTTATGCTGCCTTATTATAACGGCTTGCAATGCACTTGGTGCTCAAAGATTTTTCTTTTGATGTATATTTTGTGATTAGCCCAAAGAATTTTCATTGTCCTGTTAAATGGTATTCCAATGTTCATGGAAGTTTTCTCAATGCAGTATTAAAATTACTTAATCTTTATATTTCGAGAGTTACAAGAGAATTAAGCAAATATTTACCAAGGCTTAGTGCCCATGCGTATAAACTTAAAGCTACCTTGTGCTAAAATACATAACAAGATCACCTTGCTCTTTAAAGTTGTGTATGTTGAAATATTTGCTATTCAACACCTATCCATCAATAGAAGTTGAACAAAATTCCCCATTGCTATTTCTAGTATGGAATTAAATTTAGTTAATCATTATACTTGTGACCCTAATATCCCAGTTTGTTCTTCAAATGGAGTGACATTGTACACTATGTATTTGTTTGCATAGTTGAGAAGGAAAAGAATGTCAGTTCATTGTGTGTACCTGTTTATTCCTATCTTTGTGTTTTGGGCAGCATGCTTGAAAGTGACATATGTTCGTTTGGCTTGAAATTACACAAATCTCTTAATAAGGAGTTCAACTACTCACATATTGCATATATGGAATAGATCATTAAATTTGTAGAGAATGTAATTGTTTGTGCTGAATTATACCTTTAGGTGTTTGTTTATTATTAGTGCATAATTCGTTTTCACATGGCTAGATGAAACATGACATGAATTTCATATTATGATGTTTTAAAAGCATGCTATACAATGCAGATTGCATTTTGCGCAATGCAGTTCTGCAAGAATAACAAACTCGTTGAAACAGACTTCAATGGATGACCTGACTATGTCACCATCATGGTATCGTCTCGTTACTAGAACGCCAGCAACAGATCTATTCGTGCGTATAATATTTGGTCAGTTAACCCTTACCGCACCATTTGGGCAATCTACCTTTAGCAAAAATCGATATGCGCCGCACGGGGAAATGTGGAGTAAATTCTTATTTTGCTCGTCTCCGCAATTCTCACACTCCGGATATGAATGGCTTATTTTTCTCGTTCCGCGGAGCAAAGAGCCTCCCATTCAGGTAGGCTCGGTCGTATCCCGGCATAGTATTTTGATAGCGTTGTAGTAACTACACCAGCGAAATACCATGCTCTTTCAGGCGCAACGTGATCGCGCAACAGCCATACTTCTCTTTGTTTCTCTTTTATGATTCGGTCGATATTAATAACGCAGGCCGGCTCCGAGCGTCACGTTTGTGTGTGTTGTGTAGCATTCTGCTCGCGTCAATGGAGTCCAGCAACTCTCGACAATGCAGCATCGATACCCGCTTACTTAAGCGAGACAGCAAACGTTCAGTTGCCACTTTTATACGCTTTTCCGCGTATTTTTATTGCTCATTGCATTTTGATTTTACCTTCCTATCGATCTTTATTTCTAATATTATGTAATCAGTCTACGGCGAATAGTAACTACTACCACGAACATTTGATTTCGCATCGGATTTTGCGCTTAGAACAGTGGTCTGATTTTTGGTAGCCGTATCGTTGAGTTGTCTATTAGAAGTGTTATCTTCTTCTTTGGCGAAGATACAATTGTAGTGTATATTCTGAAAAGGAGCCAGGAATAGTCCATATATAATATATAGTTGAATAATGTTACTATTAAATAGGTTTGCACATAGATTGAACAGCAGTTTTCAAGTTTTTGTCATCAGACACTGTGTTACAATTCCGGTTGAAAAATCAACAAGTTTGCGAACTTTACTCGTCGCACGTCTCACCCGTGTTTGTTTTCCCTCGTCAGGCAACAGTGTGAATAGTTCAAACCGTTGCTTGATAAGTAGTTCGGATATATAAATTAAACCTGATTTGACCCCATAAATTTCGTGCTTTTCAAATTAGAGTTTTGCGAAATATGTTGCATAAAGCACTTTATGATCACTCACAAATAACACATTTATTTTTATGTATTTACGTTGTGTAGCCTCCGTACAAAACATTTTTTTTCAATCGTAGCAATAACCCGAAAGGGCTGAGTTAACGCCGCGTCATGGGCAGGTCCAGGCGTGTAAAAGAGCATGTAGCGCATTTCTGGTGGTTTAGTACGAAAGCGTTCACTTCGCTGAAGTGCGCAACATTCGTCCGGTGCATGACCCTAACGACCAGATCCGCGGTTATGTTTAATAGTAAAAGGATCGATTCATTTTTTATCATGCAGCCCGATCTTCGTAATAAAATATGATATACCTATTGACTGGAAAATAATTTTATTCGTTGTTTACCAAAGTTTTAGCCACGACATTATGTGCACGGAATCTGGAATTCTAACAAGCTCACTAATTGATAGGTGCTTTTGCAATGTGCATGATGTCTCTTATACTGGAGTATTTTTATTTGCGCCCAACTTTGCATGGAAACTTATGTACGATCGTGTATATATGCTCCCTTTGCTTGTATGTTATTTTATTGGTATTTATCACCTATTGATAGTTTTAAAAGACCTAAGAAAATTACAGTATTATAATATGATACCCAACGTCGACCGGTATTAAAAGGCATGTTTTTGTAATAAAATCTCGAATGCAATGCGCCATGTAATGAAAACAATTTCACTTACGAAAATATTGTTGGATGACGTCATCTAGTGATTATCCGGAAATATTTCTCTGTAGTTGATGTTACACATACATCAAACAACATGGGCCACTGGACGGGAGAAGCGTTAGTGATGGTACGAAACAGCATTATAGAGCGTGACGGCGCTGGCATATTATCTATTTTAGGTTCGAATCTATTTCGTCATTTAAATAGGAGCAAAACAAGACCATGTGCATGCTTTCATCGCGTCGAAACCAGGCTGCAAAATAGTGCATCTTGCGAGGTTAAAATCAAATTACGAAAACGAATTGGATTTACTAGGAATATACTATAGTGGAATGAATACTCGGGTCGAAGCGGATTTTTAGGTTAGGCAGGGGTTGTCGTTTTTTGATAAAAAATCTTGACTTCCCAGCCAGCTGCTTGAATATCTTTGGGCAAGAACAATATTTTGGCTAGCTACGTGAGCTCTGATGGCAATATATGCACGAGTATATCTGATGGATATTTTTGTAAGATTCATCAAATAAAGAAAAAAGATATTGTAAACGCGATTAGAGGTTTCAAAAACCATATCTGTTTCCTTGCATGGGCTGTTGATCTTGCATACATTGCTCACTTGAATATATTTCAACGAATTGATCCATTTTGCCATCTATAAAATTTGATTTATATATATATATATTACAGAACGTCAGGTCAGAAAGGAATTCACACAGAATGAATTAGTTTCGCAATTCCAGCACTTTTATGTGCATCGTAAGCAGGTTTACAGGGCTATGAATATTCCATGAACATAAATTGTTTATAAGAATATGACGTGGACTTCGGTAGCTTATTGAAACACCGACCCCACGTGTATTTCGTTTTTATTCAAGATCATGCTTGGAATGAAGATATGGGGCAAGAATTCAAGTAGCATTAGCGTTTATCTTCCTTGCTGATATCGTGAAAGGACGTAGTCACGTAAGTTCGAGATACCGTTGTCAAATTCTATACTGCATCGTCAATAGTATAAATTTATAGCCGTTGTAAAAAAAAAAAAAATTGGGAGGGTTCAGATTCCAGTTCTTTTTAAGTTCTTCCTCTATCGTTAGTACTTACTTGTATGGCGGAAGTTGTGACAAACATTAATTTTTTTTTATACAAAATCGTAGTTCGATAATTGTCCCATATCGTGTAACTAACTCGTGTAATAACTTCACGCTCGGTTACCTACTCATTATTTTTTAAACGAATTAACCTACTTTACATCTGGACTGCGGAACCGATATCGGAGTTTTTAATGGGAATTGAATTCTATCCTTCATATGTGATAATATGTAAGTTAAAATTTTCTACAAAAGCATTGAGCGTTTTAACATAACAAGTTTTTGTTATCAAAAATCGGTCATCTCTTAAGTTCGGAGCTGGAGTCGAGCTCGAAATTTTTCTTTATCCCTGGTCGGACTTAATTGTAAAAATTTTTAGACTACACAGCCGCGCTTTTCACTGCGTGCGGTTAAGATCTTTCTCGTTGCCATCCTTTTATTTGAAATTGCTGCCGAAATGGCCTCTCCGGGTTGACGAAAACCGATTGGTTGCTCTAGTGGTGGCCCGTATAAACCCTATCATCCCACTTCTGCCCGAGACGTATCTGGTCGTGATTACATTTTGTAACGTAACACTTTATACTGTGATACACACACGACCCGGCAATCTAAACCGCCAACGTCATGACTGAGCTCAAAACAAATACTGATGTCTCGTTACGAGCCCACATAGTCAATCAAATCTGTTTCCCGGCTGATTTTTACTTTTCGGCGACATGTGGCCAAACTTGAACTAAGCATCGATTCATCAATGCGCACGAGTGACGAATGTTCCAAAGCAGTCGCGCCTGATTGAGCAAGATAAATGCGAACAACTTTACGTTGCCCGTGGAGAAAATCGTAGGAACTATTTTGAGCAAGTGTCACGCCCGTAGTAAAATCATTGAAAGGCATTTCGACTTTCGCGAAGTCGTTGTTTGTACAATGGCAAGATATATGTTAGTAGATATTGTAGGCTTGGTCAGTTTTAATAGTAGGGAACTCTTGTTTGAAGAAAAGTGCAGAATTGGTACAGCTTGGATTCAGTCTCTATTTTTTATCAAATTAGGCCCAAATTGTATTGTTGTAAGGGATGTAGTGTACACATTATGTCAAGTAATTGGGTTGTCCTGGAGTTGAAAGTGTCCAATTTTGTATTCTAGAATTTTTTCTTATTGATTTATTTCGACTTTAAAATTTGATAATAAATCTGTTTTGCAGCAAAATATATTTATTGTTATAGAAAGGCGTGCCTAAATATTGTACACTTCTTTGCCTAAGTGGATGTGTATTTATTGGTCGAAAAGATACTATGTGATCAAAACGACAAAATTGAATGGTTTAAATGTCTTGCATCACGTATCCACTAAATTTAGCCGTACCGTTTTGGTGTGATTAAACTGCTTGTTTGCGGAAGTCTGACTTTGGTCAGACGAAATGTTACAAAATGGAATTGGTGAAGGTCTTATGCAAGGTCTTCGAAGATTCAATTTTGCCGTGGAACCCTCAATATAAATACAGTGTAATCGTAATTTTACTGAAATGCTGACTTTACGGATAAAAGTACGATTCTGTTTTTTCGCCCATTCTTATTCTCTTAACAAATTTTCCAATAAGAAATAATTTCGATTTAGATCAAACTGAATCTGCGCCTCTCAATGCGTGGTACGTGGTGGCCTATAGATATGAGGTACTATTCCAGATGCAAAATATGTGTTCTAATCTGTTAACTCGAACTAAGTACCGTGCTTTATCAATGTGCGCAATTAGACCAATAAGCTACATGGGCGGCAAATATTATGCTACATACTGTTTAAATGGGAGAGTGTAGATGAAGCATGCCAAACATATAGCTATCTCACGTAGTTGACTGGTACTAGTCGATTAAATGGCCCTGCGTCATTCATTGTTTGATGACTGGAACTCAAAGGAATTTCGACCGACGCATTTCTTCTTTGTGTTGTTGGCTTTTGCTTTTGTCAAGCAGAGATAAGATAGGCGAGTGTGTTTGTAGGTGAATGTGTGTGGAAGGGGTACCCATTCTTAGGCCAAAATTGCCAATGTCGAAGTTTATATATTTAAAATGGAACTATTAAGCAGGAAAATGGACTTGATATACGCGCTGACACCGTTTCAAAGCGTGTTATTCCGGAATTGGGTTACGCAATGTTACTCATTCATTTGCATTGCTGCTAATTCTATATTTTCGTTGCTCAGATCGACTTCGGTGCCAGGTTAATTTTTACTGACATTGTGTATTATTATAACATTAGCGAACCCACCGCGCCGAGAATTAAAAACATAAACCAGGTTTTGCGCAAAAACAAGGCATGCTGAAGATTAATCCATAAAGCGATTCGGTCATTCCATAAATGAGTATTTGATCCATGTTTGAAACCGGTGGTATTTTCGGAGCAGACTTCTGTCTAATGCCCCGGTTTCATAACCATCGCTTGCAATTTTATGAGAAATAGAAACGAACTTTTTTATCACCTATGATTCGCTCATGAGTTTGATATTGTTCGTTTAAAATTGGTGATATAATATAGTTTTCTACAACTTATTATGTACTTTTTTCAGATTTTCACACTGTAACTTTGTAAGAATTTATTGTGTTAGTGATGTTTAAGGTTATGCGTTTTGAAACAAGTAACGTATTTGTATGATAAGGAATTCAGCGACCAGCATTAACATAGCTTGAGGTATTGCGGTACTATGATGCGTAGCTATCGCAATGTGGTTCCTATAAGAGCACTCGTTTGTACGTCCCGATACTGCGATACGCTATATCAAATATGAAATTTGCGGTTTATTTCCAACGTATCATGCGATTTATCCATGCAGCTTATCACGTGAGCTGTAAATATTATTAAAATTTGAATGATTGATAATTTAGCATTGTACTAATAGACGCGACTTGTATAAGCCATTTCTGCCAATTCCGAGATTTAATTAAGTTTGTGCAATTTTTTCTTTACGTAAATTTGATTTGGGCATTGCATTAGAAAGAATATATCTGATACGCAGACCGTATTTGTCACTTTAACTTGCATGGCATGTTCTCTCCGAGCACGGCGCTAACATAGTGAGATGCACAAGAACGCTAGGACGTTGCAATATGAAGTTTATCTAGTTGACAATTTGATTTATTGCAGTTAACGTGACGAAAATTGAAAATAAAAGTCTTCACATTCATAGCCGACAGGGGTTAGGCCGAGCAAAGAATTTTGTTGATTTTGAGTTATGTCGTATGTAGTGTTACCCACAGCTAGAGATATTCAAAGCATTAATACCAAGTGAAATGAATATTTTTTGTCGCTAATTTTTTTTTCTGAATGAAATATTTCATCGCAAAAAACTTCGGTCTAGGAATTTCAATTTTAGAACATTCAAAATTGACAAACATTAGGCAAGGGAGTCATGAACAAGTTATCAAAATTGAATACGAAACTCCCTCCTGTTCACAAAACAAACGAGTTGCGCTCAATTTAAAATAGGGAGTAAACATTGTGTCTTGTTGCACGATGTCAGAAACACGGCGATTGATAAAATATATTTATTGATTTTCGCCTACGTTGTGCTGTGAACGAGGAATGCTTTACGTGTTCTCCTTTTAAAATTACGTGATATTTTTTAATTTTAAACCCGGCCAAACTTCAGACAACGAGTCGTCGCCGTCGCGCGGTGTTTGGGTTGTAAGAAGAAAGGAGATGCCATGATATTTGCTTGTTTTTTTAACCCGATTAATACAAATAATCTCTCTCGCCTATGTGTATGACCGTGCGAACGATGAAGTCGTTTGGCGGCGGGTAGCGATAACGTGAAGAGTTAATATTTTATAAGTCTGGTATGCCTCCGCTTCTGTTCCGCAGCGTAGTCGTCAAATATAGATAAAGTTTGTTTTGTTACCATTTAAAAGTGGCGTGTTAAATAACTTGAAAGACTAAATTGGCAAATAAAACATACCTTAAAATTTGTTTACTTGGTCATTTGCGTGTGTGTTGATATTTCTATGATTCCTAAATATAATTCTCGTGGTATTTTTCTTTCTTGGCTTGAGCATGCTGTAAAATGGGCCTTTTGATTTTGTCGCAGGTGCGCATGTCATATAAATACCTTTAGATATTGTCTTGGAAATTGATATGCAGAATCATTCTTCATTCATTCACTTACTGTCATAAATGTAGACCTAGAATGGTCGGACTAAATATGCCTCCCACTGGATAAATAAATTCAATGAATAGACATTCCTTAGCCCAATTGTTTTATAGTTTTCTGTGGCGTCCTTGTTGGTGTGAGAATAATGTTTGTGTCGGATCTATCTCCCACAGAGTGTTTACCAACAATACCATTTCTTTTTGTTTTCAAGTACCTCACACAATGCACAGAGGTATTCATTAGTACAAAGGTATAGGATATGATTGAAGTACATAGCCCATTCATGCTATTGTGCCATACCAGTCTGAATTGATTAATGATCAATTCGCTGAGGTCGCCTTTACTTTGTATCACATATAACCCGGACCATTTCAACTTTACAATTATATAGGTATGCTTTTACTTGCTTTGTGTCTATCTATCTAAATTTTGATCACTATTCATATTCCAATTTGATAAAAATTTACATCATACCGTACTTTCTTACACGTACCTTATAATTCAAGAATAAAGCATGTGCTTTGCTTTACACTTAGCCTGGACTTTTCAAGCTTTTTTTTATTAATATATGGACATTTTACTTGCTCTGTGGCTGTCAACGTTTTACCAGTTATATGGTATAATCACTATTTATTTTCTGATTATATAAAAATTTCCACTTCCCTTTCATACAAACACATTTTGATTCATGAAAGTTTGAAGATGTTATCTAACGAGGATGTTCAGACAATTTTTTTATTTTAAACATTCATGTCTCATAAAAGTTTTCTAAAATCAAAATTTTTAATATGTAAATTTCAATATGGTATCAATATATGGTAATGTATTGGCTATGCACAAATTTCATATTTTTTGTGGGTACGAAATTTGCTGATGTTGTAAAAAATGTACCTTATCAGTTTCTGTCAAGTTATTGAGCAATTGCAGCTAGATAGCAGGACCTGTGAGGAGTAAATGAATGTCAAAGTCAGCTGTGGTTTAGTATTATTGTAAATGTTTACAGTTTTCAGTGAATGGACCTAATCCCGTTGGGAGGTGCTATTAGTGATATATTTCATCTTAAGTGTTTCATGGTAAGCATAGATAAGTGCTCCTCATAGCCAGGAAATTTCTGCAAAAAAATTGCTATCAGGAACCAATCCTGCAATAAGAGCTTCTTATCTTGTGTTCTTGAGATGATATTGCTCACTCTCTAGTTTCCACTCAATTTATAAAAAGGGAGATGGATTAATATTACATCAAATTCCATATAGTATATATCTCTTCACTACGAATATTTCAAAACTTTCATATAACTGACTTTTCTCAATAATATTTACAGCGTGTATGTCTTAGCACACATTTGCTTCAATAGGTGTGTTATGGCAAAGAGGGAAGTAATTTCCTCTGTAGGCGCCGTTGTTTTTATTACATTGTACTGAGGCAGCAGCCAATTGCTAGCTGCCCCAGAATACCTCTAGCAGCAACTGACTCGGCAATGATATCATCGTTCTCAAGTCAAACTGCAGTGCACATGATGTCCCGCATGCCTGGCTATGAAGGTATGCCACAAAATGAAAGTGGCATGCCTGGCACTTATTCGATATCCGATCAACATCCACCAAACCAACAATCTTCAGCCGGGGCTGTCCATCTCTCTAGACCCAACACTCATCTCATAGTTCAAACTGGGAATACACGTCAAGCTTACAATCTAGGCAACACAGGTAATACCGATAATGTTATTTTGTCAACATTGCTTTTTTCAAACTAAAATATCTGTTATGACTTTTTTGTTATGGTCTGGTAACAATTTTTCTATTATAACTATTTCCATGGTTTTGGAAATGGCTTCAAAATTATTTAGGGGAAATATTTACACTGAGCCAGTTTTTAGCTAATGGACAGCTTATGCGCATATTGATTTAATAGGTTGTAGTATAATGGAAACTGCAAAATATTTGACAAAAAGATTTTTTATTGAGGCGTGTGCTCTTAGATACACTAATTCCACATTCGTGTGGTAAAGAGAATTGGGTATTGTTAGAATATTTTTTTATTCAATCTCCTGCTTATTATGTAAATTTGATCATAATTGCTATTTGTTATTCATACTTATGTTGATAATTTTAAATTGTTTATTATTGAAATACACCTTTGTTGTCCAAGGTCGCTCAAGCCTTCCTCACCTATCCACAACTCAACATCTTGCTGGTCACATGACAAGAAATCTTGTAAATCAAATACCTGTATCTAGTATTGAAGCAAAGCATATACAAGATGGGCTTGCTTTAACTGATCATGTATCTTCGGCATCACCACAGAAGATTAATGGACCAAATCAAGCAGGTATGCTATTTATAAAAATATTCCAACTAGAATTATCAATTTGAGAAAATTTTGCTTAAACGGAAAACTGAATTCAAAATTATTGTCATTTGATGAAAGTGTAGTTTTGGAGATTAGGTAATTAAGGTTACTGTTTTTAGTCAAATTTATCCAATTATTCAAAGCATGCTTCTTGGAATATCATACTAATAATCGAACAAACGAGGTAACCCTTAACCACAAGCTAATGTCAATGGTGTCCAGCGCTAACATTCTAGATGCCAAATCAAACAAATAATCACATACTATTTTCTTTCAGGTACAGTGACATATGCAACTCCCCAAGGTACTATACTTCCTCCACCAATGTGCCGTCTACCTGGACCCAGACCACCACAGCAAAACAGTATGTACATTCTACTCAATATATCTCTACTGATATTCTATTGCCTTAAAAGTCAAAGGATTTGAGTGGCATGCTAGGAAATGTATCAATGCGCAACCAGTGAATACAAGATTTACATATTGATCACTAAGGGTGTCCAGCAAATCTTTCATACATCACTATCCCTGCGTGGGATTCGAACCTGTAAACCCACTCAGGGCTATCTGAAGCGCTTAGCATGTTGTGCCACACTGCTGAGCATTAACAGGTAAAACAATTCAGTGGGGAAAAAATGCAGAACTTTATTGTAAATAAGTATTTACCAATAATACTATACTTGTTGAAGGATATTATGTTTTGTGTACCATTATTAATGGTCAATAATCAAAGGCTTAAGTTAAATGGTGTGCATTGATTGATATTTTTTTCCTTTTGCTAATAAGATTATTGACTTTTCAACAGATCACAACACAATTCGGCGAAACCAATCACATCCAGAAATATTGGAAGGAAGACAAGTCACTCCACCTGCTCAGACCAGTCGCTCACGACCGTCCTCTTCTCTTGGCGTTACCGGCTCGGCTGAGAAAAGGAGAAAAAAGAGAATTTCAGACACTTTATCTAATCCAACTATTTCCACAGCTTCTCGTTGGGTAAGCTAGAATTAAATGAGCACAATCATGGCTGAAAATCTGACTTCAGTTAATGTTATTGAAACTATGAAAATACATGTGTTTTATTGCATTCAGTTGCATTCAGTTCAGAGATATCCAACCTTATTTATTCTGAAAATTTTTTGAGTTCTCATAACTACAATTACCTCATGAATCAATGCTAAGTTCTAAGTCGTGACTAACAAACAGACTTTCATCTCTGAGATCACAATAACATTTATTATACAACAGAGAATGCTCCGACTCCAACATGTTACATTCTTCTACGTTTATTACATAACATATGATCATGTAATGAATGGAAACCTTTATTGGCCAATTTTTTTGTGTAGTAATAGTGTCAATTTATTGCTTGCCTGATTTACCAGTCGAGAACCCCTGATTTACTATATTTGATTATTTCTCAATTATCTATATGGACAGTTGGGATGTTTGTTATCAAATAATGCTGTATTCTATTTCTATACTTATATTAACCAATTCAATTGAAGTTTTTTGTTGATCGATTTTGTATTAAAATCATGTATTTCACTGCATTAGGATCAAATTTTATAACAAGGATTATATGAAATTTGAACATAAGTATAGTCTTTGGTAAAATGTCATGGTCATGTGAACATAGTTTTTCATCCAAACTGATTTGCTCTTTTGATTCGGATGAATTTAATGATTTTTTCACTTTTCACGATGCAGGCATTTCTCCTTGCAAATTTGCATCAGTTAGTCTATGTGGCACTTCTTAGTTTGGGTAGACAAGTGGCTGTTGAATTTTTTAATGACATCCTTCAGCTCTCCAATTTTTTATGTCAATACAACAGTTTTTGAGTTAATGTAAAAGTCATGGTGATTTCCCATTCACTTCAGACTCACTTGGAAAGGTGTCGTGGACTGGCGGTTTTGGCTAAACGAGGGGACACTTATAAACAAGCAAAGTTTGTTAAAGTCAGGTTGGATGGTCAGGTACGATTCCCACTTCTTGAAATTTTGTAACAACGAAGTTATACAAACCAGCAAATAGCTACTGACATGTTCACCTTGCTTGTGTGGTTAATTCTGGTTGCTTCTGGTTAATTAGTAATCTGCATTTTGTAATTTCAAACCACAATAAAACAAACTGAGGGTGAGAACTATGGGATATTGGGAGAACGTGAAATGTTGAAAACAATTCACAATAATATATTACTTCTAAAAATTTGCATCGCTATTTTATAGTGCTTACTTTTCCGAAGTTTCGTTCAGAATAGTAATAGTAACAAATCTCATTTTAATAACCATAAATTTATATTCTTGCCTCCTGATTTTTATCATAATGTAATAGTTGGTAATTTATTTTTGTTCAATAATTTATATTATTTTGCCTTGTTAGGTTGGAGTATTGTTTGATGGTGACAAAGATAAAGCAATCAATTATTTTATGGATCCTGAGAAAACTGATCACGTGAGTTGGTTATTTGAGTGCAATAAAGTATGAAGTAGCAATGAATTTATTGAAAGCATGTTGATGACATAGCTATCACCAAGGCAGGTGCTTACTCGCTTTGAAAATAGTTTTTTCTCAGTTTTAAGCTTTATTAATACCACATTGTATGTTTTTATTTTTGCATTGTGCTTTCTATTTTACTTAGAATATTTGATCATGGCGTAGGCTATATTTTGCTTCATGAATGAAACCTGTTTGAACAAAAAAGTGCTTTCCCCAATTTTTCTAGTTACTGAACAGAATGGTGTAATATTATTTTACGATTCAACAGTTTATTATTGTTGTTCAAGTTAGTTTAGCAAACTTGTTTTGTGTATTTCAAAAGAAATATTTTGATGTGACAAATGGGGTTTTCAATTTTTTTTATTGGGTTAGTGCATGCTATAAATGCTTTTATTACATCCTGTCATGAATGAAAATGTGTAAAATGAAAAGTATTATATTTGGAAAAATTGTGTTGTGTTGAGTATTCTGACTTTTATATTATATTTTTTACTAACAATCTCATTTATGGAATTTGCATGTGCATAGTTTTTTCTCTGATGATATTTATAAAGGTCATAATATAGTAGCCTAGATAGTGTGTTTAGGCTCGTATATATTTATAGCTTGACTTAATGGATTTTGTTTTGGACTTTGCGTTGAAAGCTCAATAATTTCCCATATAAACTCTTTTGCCTAATATTACCACTCTTTAGGTTATTGCTGATTTTCCATTGGATAAAGAACACAATTTACTTACCAGAAGTAAAGTAATTTGCAAAGTTCATCCTGAATCTTCGGTTTATAAAACAGCGTATGTGCAAAACTATAAGTAAGTTATATTCATATGGAAACTAAGAAATTTACCTATATTAGTTGATACCGGTATATTCAGGAAAGCATATTATGCTGTGCTTGTGACCTTGTTTGAAGTACAAATGCTAAATTGTTATGCAAGTACATAGGAATCATTCAAGGTGTTTGCATTCAATTTACTTCTAACAAACAGCTACAGGACCAGAGTGACTTAAAAATTATTCTTGGAACAATGGTTTTCACTTCTCAGTCCGAAACTGCTGGAATTGTCAAACTTCTTCTTGAAATGATGTGTTTTTGTGTACAAAAGGACCCTCAATAAACTTCTGTATAAGAAATAGTTGCATCGTCTTTTTCTTATCGTTTCATTAATGACAATGCATAATTCAAGTTAATCACGGATTGGGTGGTTGTAAAAGAACAGTAAATGGTACATCATTAAGAAGGTCTAAGAAGCTTCACATCATGTTGTTATCAAATATACCGCTAATAATTTATTATGTAACTTCGAGTTGGGTTGCGCAAGACTAACTCCCTATCCTTCCTCAATGCCTTTATGCTAGTGGATTCGTATGCGTATAATGCTAGGATTCTATCTAATTCAAGAGTCCTTCTGCACACCAACACAAATGTATTTCTGTATTGTTCCGTCCAACCAAAGTCAGACTTCTTCAGACGAGCAGTTCATAACAATGGCCATTTGTGTTAGTGGGCAGCAAGATTGTTCTTGAATTGGATTATTTATTATCATGTTGTTGTTATAACAATCATGTTGATTATTATTATTATTATGTTGATAATTTCAGTGAAGAAACTGGAATCTTCACTGTACGTATGGAAGATGACGTCAATGATTTATTCGTCCCAAGAGAACGAGTCCGTCAGATGATTGCACCATGGCTTTTTCCTAATCTACCTTCTCCACCTCCAAGGTATGTTTATTGCTGGTCCAAGCATGGTACCACAATATACTTTTATCTTCAAAATTTACATTTTTCGTAGTATTACTATAATAAAAAAGCCATATGATATGGAACAAGGTATTTTATTCATGAGGTATTCCATAATTGGATTTTTTGTTTGATAATAGTTAATGTCAAGTCTATTAAATTGGGAAATTATTCTAATAAGTATTGTAGATAATTTTTGATTTTGAGATTGACATTATTAATGCTCATGAAAATGTCACTAAGGACAAGTGGATAAACAAATTTTGAATCAGGGTGTGTAACCTTTAATACAGGAGGGCCAGACACCAATACCTGGGTAAAACCGTAGGCCGCACCTTTGTTTAACATATGTATACTAGTAGTTGCTCGTACAAAAATTTGGGTTATTGATTTTATGACATGCATTGTTTCGCTTTGCATAAGCTAGCTAGCTGGTAGGGCATTGTAATGTCATGACTCATGACCATAGATAATAAATTGGACTCGGGTATAGGCTTTCAACGCAAAGAGATTGAAAAAACTCACACATACCAGATTGAACAAAATTAAAAACTCGTTACGCAGGCCGAACACCATTCGAAATTGGCACTTCTCCGAGGGCCGCAAGTTACACACCCCTGATTTAAATCATGGCGATATGTAATTGAATTCACTTTGAATATGCAATAATTTTTTTTATATTGCCTTTCTCTTAAGAGCAATGTCAACATTTTTTAAACTTTATTCACTACTTTACCATCAATTTTACCATGCCATACTTGAATCAATCATGCAGTGACTAATGATCTAGACATGACTCAATATCACCTTCAGGCAATAATACACAAAAAAAATTGCCGGTAATAATGAAACTGTGAATACTTTATATGGCATTTACAATGACTGAACAATAATGGCTTCAATGGGGGTCTCTGTGTTTAGTGACATACTGCAACACAAAGTGATTTCAGGTGCACTGTGGAATGTTATTTGATTTCCCAAAAAATTATTTTTCATTCAGCCTTATTTAGAACTTCATAAATAAAATGCTAAAGATTGTTAAAATTAATGCCGTCAGAGAAGTATGATCAACTATACAAGCTTATGTGTTGCTCTGATTGTGAAACTTTTCCTTGCTGTAATTTACTGTGAGGTTAAATATTCTTTCCAATACAGTATGATTTGTATGAAAGAAAATAAAATAAAATCACATGAATTTGAAATGTTTAAGAACCTCTGTTCTGTGCCACTAAAAAAATAAAGATATTTTTTTCATATTGATTTCCCAAATAGAGGACACAGGATCTTTTTGCTGTATTTAAAATCTTACGTAGTGTTCATTGGTAATTTAAACAATTTCAATCAAAGATAAAACCCATTGATTTTCTTCCTTTCGTTGTCAAATTGCAGACACGAAGGTGATTCAGATTGTGATTCTGATTTTCGACCAACAAACACAGACGATGAAGCAACAGAGACTGCTTCGGAATCCGACAGCGAAAACAACAACAATAATTCCTCGATGAATGCTGATATATCAGCAGAAAGTAGACGAAGTGCTTTAGTAAGATCTCGTAGAAATCCAAGCGGTGAAGTCAGGCTTCATATGACCGGATCTTCCATGGACCACAGGTAAAATGTTTGAACTTCTTTTTTTGAAGAATTATCTGTACTATCTGTATTATCTGTAGAGTGTCATTACTATTACGTCATTGAAAAAAATTTATTCAAAACTTTTAAACTTCAGTTTGTGTATGTTGGTACCCAAATGTTTCAGGAATCTAGGAAGCTTTGCGGTTGGTACAAATATTGTGTTCTATCTAGAAATGTTCCAAATGAACTTATTTTTTCGGGTTCACTTTGTATAATTGTCCATTCAAGAATGTCTGTAGTGACCTTTATTAGGAATCGAACTGTTTCTTTTTTGCCTTCTCCTGCTTCTAATACAAGTTTTACCTCAATTAAAATTTAAGATATAGGGTAAAGTAAAGTAAAGTAAATATGCCTGTTACAGAGGCATATCCTAGGCTTTTCGTCTTATTTTGTATTTCACATTCATATTTACCCTCCTCATTAGTGACAACTGGTAACTCTTTTCTAATTTGTATTTCAAAACTGACTACTAAGTCGTGTTTTTCTGGTAAGTAAGCAACCAGGCAGCCGGTTGATATTTTTCGCTGACTGGATTTGAAGGCTAATTTTCTTCGGCTTATCCTACTTAAGTATCAGCAAAGGCTCTTGTGTGTTTGGCTCAATTTCAAAAATTGATTTTGTTCTGGTAGCTAGAGAGTACAGTGAAATGACCAAGAAGAAATCAGATATTTAAATATGGCCAGAATTTGTCTCGTTCCATATAGTAAATTGGGAATAATAAATCTTGAAACTATGCCGTTTTAAATACCAAATAATTGTCATTAAACTAGCTCATCAAAATCAAAGTTCACAATCAGCGTCGTTTCATCATTATTTGAAAAGACCATGCGATTTTGAAGTCAGTAAGAATATTCTATTTTATAAATGAAAGAATTTTGCTAGATTTGTTTTCAGAATAGTGCATTATTGTTACTATTGATAGTTAATACTATGACATATGCCATACCATGTTTAATAATTTTTTCAAGTTAAAATGATATTTGTTTTTGATACAATTGCTTACCCGTATTAATCAACTTTATTTAGTTTTGATGGAAATCCATATCTTGATCGTTCACGTCATCAAAGTGGAACAAGTGACATCAGCATACCTAGTCCTGAGGTACGGTCTCATTTTATGTCTTTTAAAATATCTAATGGAGATTTGTAGAAATAATATAGGGAGTGGGTATTATAAAATTTTCAATATTATCATTCTTGAGTTTTTTGAAAATGTAATTTCTATATTTATAGTTATATTTTGCTTCTGGCTAAGCATTTAAATACTTGTTACCCAGTCTGCATCTCGCATGCAAATCTTTTAATCTCAAACATCTCAATGTTTTGAATTTTTGAGAACATAATTTCTATATTTTATAGTTCGATTTTGCTTTTTGGTAGGTATTTAAATACTTGTTATACACGCTGCATCCCGTATGCAAATCTTTCAATCATTCAATAATATTTCTTACTTAGTTCCACGCCATATCAATTTTACATTCGAAGCGAGTTTTAAAACGAGTGAATATGCAAATTGAAGGGAAATATTTTCGAGAAAGCAAATGGTTGCTATAACTCAACTAACAGTAAATTTTGATTTACGATATACCATATTTCTTCGTGTATAATACGCACTTCCAAGGCCAAATTTCAAGGTCAAAATAAAGGTGTGTATATTGTGCATTGACATAGAAAACATCGCAAAGTTTAACGGAAACCCTATGCGTATTATGCATGGATATTGAAAAAGTCTCGCCACAGGTGTGATAAAATACACGTGCGTATTATCTATGGGTGTGTATTATGCAAGGAGAAGTACGGTTATTTCAACCTTTGGATAATATATATTTGATATATTTGAACTTTCAAATTTAGAATTTGGGATTACTGGACTATTCAACTGTGATCACTTTTTATTCATCGAGTTTTGTTATTTCTATGTTTTTTCAGATGATCAGAGGAGGTCGAAGTTCATCAGCTAGAGCGATGCTCTCCTCCCCAAGAGGAAGTTCTTTGTCGCGACCAAATTCTGCTCTCAGTGAGCGAAGTATCAGTCGTTCGTCATCTCGTTCTGTTACTCCAGTAACTGCTGGTCAACAAAAATATAAGAAAAATGAAATTGTCACCATGTCAACTGGTGTAAGGAAGAAATTCAATGGTGTGTTTAATATATACGGCGCTTAGCAACACTCCGAACAAAGCCCTTTTACGAGCATATACTGATATCTAACGCTATCATATGTATTTGATTTTGCGCCCACGGTTTGAAAAACTTTTTAGTTTTAGCTTAGTCTACTTAATTTGATAAACACTGCTGAGATTGCCTGCAATTTTTAAAAGGAAGTGCAGACATGGGGCCACCATCAGCAGCTTTCACTAAGTATCATTACCGATGTCTGCATTAATTTTAAGTAAATTGACTGCGGATTGTTTGATGCATTATTCTTCTGCTTCAATTTGTAGACGGAAACCTGTTTAAAACAAAACTAGAGTTTTTTAAATGGAAAAGTAGCGCACTGGGTATTGAGTGTCTCAGGAAACGGACCACGAAAATAAATTTGAGAACCTCTGGGTTAGGGATATTGTAATAATAGTCTTCATTCATTGATGAATTATTGGAACCTGAAAAATGACATAATAATATAATTTCATTGTATGTATAAACAGGTAAACAATGGAGAAAATTATGCTGTCGAGGAGATTGCATGAAGGAATCACAAAAACGGGGACTCTGTTCAAGACATCAATCCATGCAATCCAGAACTGTTCCATCGACTCCTAATGATGAAATATTGGTTGGACATCAAAGTAGAACTGCTGACCCTCTTCCTGGTAGAGCAGCATCTGCCGTTTTACCATCTGAGTCACCTATAAGACATCGCTATGTCCACAGAGGATCTAGTTCTTCTATACAGGGATTGTATTCTCCTACTAAGGTTCAGGTAAGATAACAAGTTTGTAATTATATTTTGTTCAAATACAAAATTTCAAATAAAAATAACTAAGAAATTGAAGTTAAAATTGAAGGTTTTTTTTATCTATGGAAATTTCTGTTTTTCTATAAAAATGACCATTTGTCTGTTGAAATATTGATTCATACCAAATATTTACAACTATTTTCAGTATTAATGTAAGTGTGATGCAAGTATACCCTGTTATATTAAAATGTGGAAAATTGTTGTGACAGGTTAAGCCACAATACCACTTATCACCACCTGCCGCATCTCCTGCTCCTATATCTTCAAAATTTCGTAAACGATACGTCACAGTGACTGATGAGCACGAAGCTGCCAGAAGTCTCGTTAAACTAGGTACTGTGGTTTTGTGTTATTAATTTTTAGTTTCAGGTCACCCAAAAAACAAAAACCAAAAATTATCAAATACTTCTACCCAACGCTTTGCACAAAAGTTACGTTCTCCCTAGAATATTTTTCTGCCTACACTCAGCTGTTTTGTCACCCTGTATGTGCATTAGAATAACAAGTTTTGTTTGTTTTTGATAAATATATTATAGATTGCGTTTATAAATCTTCGATATTATCATTTGTTTTACAGCTTGCAGCCCTATTGATTCGAAAGTACATGCTGGACCGAGCCCTCGAAAATCCAATGAATTTGTGACGACGCCAAGCCCATTGACTGTTCGTAATGGTAGCCAGTCGAATCTATTTGCACCCATACCCCAATCTCTGACAAGTACACCTTTCAGAGACAGCTTGGCAGTACCTGCGGGAGGCCAGGGTCCCATTGGCACTGTTCTTCTCACCAACACAACGCCTACCAAGCAATGGGCACATGGAAAACGGCATGAAGCTGTAGAAATGGTATCGCCACAACTGCCGATAAGGTAAAGTATTTTTCTTCTAGCTCCACCATTAGACTTTTATGTAACAATAACGTAAAATGAAGATTAGAACAGTAAGTGTGACTAGATTGTTACTTATCGATTTTAATCGGTAAGTATGTTGATATTTGTCTGTTAGATACAGGTGATATCTCACGAAAGCGAGATTTAATCTGCTCAAGATTTTGCATGTGCGTTCATTATATGTCGTACCAGAAGCCTATCGATTTTGGATGAATTATGTCGTATAATTAGCAAGTTATTAATTAATTAGTGATGGGACACAAGGTGTCACTATGGAGTAAGAGCGCTGTTTTGGGGGATCCCCTAACTTTCGATCGATAAGTCTTCGGTCTCTGAGCGATATTCTCGTTTTGATGTCAAAGGTTAAGGATCATAGGTCTAATTCTGTGGATCTTGAACATTTATGAGGCCAAAGGTTTTGTTTTTAATTGGTTTCCCTCGGTTATTTTGTTTGGTGAAAAAAATTGATAACAATTAACAAAAAGTAAACAAAGCGCAAGTAAATAAATAAGTACATTTTGATCACAGAATTAAACAGAATCAAACTTAATTTAATATCACTTCTATTGAATTGGATATACAAAAATTGGTATCTTTTTAGATCCCAGATTTTCCACCCCAGAAAGAATGTATGGGCTAGTCGTTGGCCTTGATCAGTCTTGAACCTGCCATGTCAAAAATTTTGATTCGGCAATCACAGCCATGCTTACATTTTATATTTATCAAAAAAATATATTAAAGACAATAAAGTGAAATTGATTTTGTTAATACTTGGGCTTTTCTTTTAGACATGGTAGTCATATCGCACCTTCGTTTGGACAAAGTTTGTTCAGTTGTAAATCTCCAAGCAAATCAAGACATGGGGTTTTGCTGCAACCTAGTTTGCAACATGGAAGGTACTCAATTGCTTTAACCCATGCAACTAACAAACCTGATGGCACTCCTATAAATGATGGAGCTGACTCAGGAGTGGAAAGTATAGGTGAGTGCAGAGCAGGACTTGATTGATGAAAAAAAAAGATGCAAATTTTTTGTATTTCCCTCTCCTAAATAATTATCGTATTAGATTAAATAAGTATTCAAATATTAGTTTATTATATATTCAAAGTATTACACAAAAATAGTTATTCTTTTGGAGATTCTATTTGCACTCTTTTTGTAAGTCTCTAAGTTTTTTTTCCTATGGACCTCACAGACCAATCAGCTTCAGAGCATATCATCTTTTTTTTTTATCTTATTAGAAAATAGATATCTTTTTAGAAAATAGAATAGGTTTTCATCAAAATGTTGCAATGTATAGGGAAATGAAATGGCTTAGCAGTAGGAGCTTTTGACACATCTGTGTTGGCATTGAAGATCACACATCTCTGGTTCAAATCTTGTGCCCCGTTTTATCCCGGGTGTGATAAATTGGGTAGACCGGTCCTTCCAAATAAATGTAGCTTCGTACTTCGAAAGATATCAACGGCTACTTGTTTGGGGTCTTGTTGAGAACAAAATAATTACAATATTCTTTCTTGTCATAAACAGGTCACACTCCGACTCCTACAACCCCTGGCATTAACTCAAGACCTCACAGTCCTAATGTTTTTGTCAGTCCATCATCCAGTGGAATACAACCTGGTGTAGCTCAAGCTGTTGCTGGCCATTACAGTCACCATTATTCACGGAACGAGGGTTATGTGATTTCACCTCCAACGATAATATCTAATCCTTTGAGAAATCAAAGGTTTTTTCCTCATGACCAAGGTCAGGATGGTGGAACAGAAAGACAATCTCATTCCGGGGCAGATGCATCTGTGATAAAGCAACCCGTAGGAAAATACATTCGGGCGCCTAATTCTTCAAGGCTTAACTACATGCCAGCGAATAATCAAGACCACAGAAGTGGTATAATAGCACCTACCCCTCAGCATGCGGCCACATCTTCCAGTGGCAGGGTCCCACAGCATCCTCCTTTACCCATCGGGGCATCACTACCATCTTCTGTCAAATACGGTAGAGAAGGTCGCTCCGCTTTTCGAGGTGCAGATGGAAGGAAAAGTGAGGACCGAACTCGACAAGAACAAAGACCTGATGAGGCCGGTGGTATTTTAGTTCCAAGAACACGAAGCACTTCATCGTCAACCACCATATCTGCTAAATCAAATTCAAGAGGCAGCACGCCTGCTCATGATCCAGGTAGAGTACAAAATTGATTTTAAATACATTGAAATTAAATTATAACAATATAGCTTATTGGTTTGAAAAGTGGAGAACTTCATATCATTGTTAACTGTAAATTTTTGGTTTTTGTATTACTTTCCAATTGTATCCATTTTTCACACCTCTGAAATGAATTGAACTATATTAAATTGATGACCTTAGTTTCCTCGACTTCAACTGACCACTAAATCACAACAAGTTGCGCAGCTTTTAATGTTGATGATGTCATCATACCCCCAAAAAACAACGAATCCCATAGATTTCACTGAAATTTTTGAAATAGGCAAAGGTAATAGCCCGCTTGCGACAATAATATTAAACCACTCAAAATTTTCTTCAAATGATTTTTTGTAAAACCTCTTATGCTCAAGAAGGTAGGTAATCCTGTTGTTGTCAATGGTTACGGGATTTTCCTAATAGTTAAACTGAGAACTAGTTTCTCCACTATTTTTTATTAGTACTGATAGATGTTCCACATATCTGGTATTCTCAGTGTTCAATATTAATACACTTCAGCTTTTTTGCCAAAGCCAAATAATACAAAACATTCTAGAATCATAAAGCTTTTTTCCAAGATGCTTGCTCTGAAACTTTGACTTTGCGATTTGCAAATATTTTATAAAGTATTTTTAACCTCGTTCTGAATAAGGTTTTGGGTGAGCATGTAACAAGGAGTTTCAAACCGAGTTCTGTAACATATGACAACTATTTACGTATTACAGGGCCATTGACGGAAATATTGTTCTGTGGGGAATGCTCCATTCAGAGCCCCCTAGGTACTAGCTAATCTTTATATTTCTTTTAACAGACTCTAATGCAAGCTATGTTGACCAAAATCAAATCACTGTGCAACAACAACATCAACAACAACATGTTCCTGTACTAACCATTCCTGAACAAAGACACACTCGAATTGTACACAATCAACCAACAAATATACCAAGTGTCAGCGCTCATTCTAGTGCCATGCCACATTCAAGGTTGCAAGTGCAACAACAAGCAGTGCTTCAGTACCCTGCTACACATTTGGTTCAGCAAGGTATGTGAAACAGCTAATAATGCAAGCAAAAGTTAGGTTAAATAATTTTAAAGTCGTAATTTTTTAGTGATGTATGGACATCATTATAAACTTTATCTGAGTCTTGACTCCGAGTATTCACCACATATTGTGAGACGATTGCTGGACTCCTCGCCGATGTAGTGTGTTTTGCATAACCGCTGGTCCACGTAACCACTGGTCCAAGTCCATGATTTCGAAAACTGACTAACTAATCCCATACCCAACATGTGGTGACTTTCGCCATATGATTAAGTTCTTGTATCGCCTTTCCTCGCCCCCAGGATAAATATGTAAATCATATCCTCTTATTTAATTTGGAATGTATTGGGTCTAGGTGTGTAGTCGAGTAACTTAAGCTGGATTTATTCAATAAATGATAATAATGGAAACAAGAATGGGACCTTCCAGAAGTATGCGCACCAAGATGTCGCACAATCTGAACTCAGGTTGTGTACCAAGTTAGGGTTCAGGTTATGCGACATCTTGGTGCGCATACTTCAGGAGTACCCAAGAATGATATATCTGTACACAAAGATCAAAAGAACAATTATGGTTACTGCTACAGAAATAAAAGTTATACTTAATTTCTCTGAAAGAATTTGATAAAATTGTAATAGCTTCTAGTGATTTCTAACTTTGATTACTGGAAATTTAAAGTTAGCTGTGAATAAACATGATTGTTTCCCATCAATAAGTTAGCAAAATGATCCATTGGTCTTCTTTATTCATGTCCAATAATATAGTTTCAGAGAATTATTTCAAGCTATTAATATTTTGAAAAAGATCTGAATTGTGATGACATACAATTCAATTATTTTTCAGGTAATGCTATGCTTCGAACCGTTACTCCTGGATTATATCCTTACGTTGGTTCTGGCTATCACCAACAAATTTTAACTTCAAACACAGCTCCTGTAGCAGTTGTAACATCCACAGTAACTTCTGTAAGCTGCTCATCAGCAGTGGTCTCCATCGGTGCCAATCCTGTCGTACCTGAAGGGTTAGTGCCACAGATTCTGTACCCTGGTATTTCAGCTCTTGGTGGTCTCCCACCTGGAGCGACGTATATCGTTGTTCACCCCAATCAGTTTGCAAGTATGCATCAGACAGCATCTGTTCTACAACAACAAACTAACCAATCTTCTCTACCAACACTGCCTCCTCGACAGGTGAAATGAATTTTTTTCATTTATATAGCTCTATATATATTTTTTGCCTTTTGTTCTAAACAGGGCTCGTAAAAACAGCCATTGATATGTAAGAATCTACTATTTTGGGGAGTATCGGAATTGTCCCATTGCGACATTGCCTGCCTAATTTATTACACCCCGAGTGAAGTGGGGTGGACATTTGATTTGAACCCGAGATGTGTAGCCTGTAATGCTAATACAGTTAACTCCAATGCTCGAACCGTATCTCGTCCCAATTTATATTTTTGGGACTGTTTAGTGGGTCTTCTATTTAAAATACTTTACATTTATGTTGCCATTCCTATTTTTTCATGTTTTGAATACATTTTTTTTTTCATAAATTTGATTAGAGTAATGTTGTTGATTGTTAACTAAACGTAACAAAAAAGCTATTATGTAGGTCTGAAAAGACTCATATTTGACTTACGGAACCTTTTGACTGTACTGGTGGAACCCTGGTTGGAAAATACTGATGTAGATATGCTTTTGAAGCACAGTTTCTGGTTGGAAAATACTGATGTAGATATGCTTTTGAAGCACAGTTTTTCGGCTTGTGATGCCATTTTACCATATTCAATTTTTTTACTTTTATTTTTATTTCAGATGGAAACAAAACCTTCTGTTCAGCAGCAACCATCTCAGCATCAACCAACGTCAATTTCTCGTCAGTCTCACGATATTTCAGCAACGGTTTCTAATCCTCATCGATCACTGGAATCTTCTGCATATCCTGTACCTGACTCATTGAGACAACAACATACTTTGCAAAGTACAACTTGCCGAACTTCAGAGGAAACATTGCCACAAACAGAGGTAAAGGGTGAATATTTGGAGGAACAAGAAGGCAATTTTTAAAAATATATAGACTTGAAAGTCAAATGACTAATATGACCACCACAATGTCAGCAAAATTTCAGACAAATGTTATGATTTTCACAAATGTCTCATGAAGGTGTGGCTTGAATAATAAATAAACTGGGGTGAAATCTCTATAGGAGATAGGAAATTTTAAATGAAATAAAAGTAATACCTTTGTAGCAGCTTCTTCAATCTTTTTTTAAAAATCTGAAAAAGAGTGGCCCATGAGGTACGGAAAAAACCCAATTTCGCAAAACGATACATAGACTCACTTTATATCCAAAAATAGCTAAGTCACTAAAAATGAAGGTATGAAAATACTTGTTTGAATAGATGTAATAAATTCATTTTCCATTTCCAAGAACATCAGGATGTTTTGGATGTATTAGAATATGTTTTCTAATAAAGCTCATCACAAATAAACAGAAGTAGTCCGAAATTATAATCAATTTTCAAACAATATATCTAAATCAGGGTTGTTTTATTTTAATCATTGTTAATTTTAGTTTTTTACTTCATCTAATACCCTTGCATTAAATAATAAAAATATATGGTATCGATAAGTTCTCTTGCCTCTTGACAACTTGAAAATTGTCAATAATCTCACATACACCTTGTATATTTTACATTTTTCACGTAATACTTTCTTTTTAAAGGTACCTCATGCTATCTCCGAGCAGAGGCCTGTTTACCAATGGCACCAATTGTTGCCATATTTGGGCCATTTTCCTTCAGCTGAGACGACATCTCCTCCACCAATGAACGGAGTAGCAAATGACGGACAGACACAAATGCCTCAAGCAGAAACCGATGGTACAACGAATGTTCAAAGCGTAGAAAGAATACAACAGTCGAACCACACGCATCATGATACTTCAATGAACCGTGTCGTGGCAAATTCTGCAAGGAAGTGAGTTTTTTTCATTTTTTTTTTGGAAAAATTGCTCAAAGAAAGGTCATATGCACTCATTCAGAAATCGTAGAGATTGATCTTCGAGAGAATTTTTGGGAAACCAATGAAGTGCCAAGAGCTACTGAGACAAGAAAGAATGATATATGCTAGCATTGGGGTTTTCATATTTATGCGGGATAGAGGAAAGACGACTCAATATTGCAATAGGATACCATGTCTGGTATTGGGATAGGTAGCATGTTATTTGTTTCAGAGGTATAGGCCTGATAGTGGAGGGAGCTGTGATTGATTAGCAGTTACTTGAATCACTCCACACTAGTGATGAGTCGACCCATTTTCTTGAATATAATCATTCCCCCACAAGATTTCAAACACCCTCACAATGTTATCATATTCCATTAATGGAAATTGACCACCGGTTTACATTGGCGAGTCCAGCAATTCTTTTACACATAATATTCCTCTGCGAACCCACACAGGGTAATCAGATTCAACACTACCAAAACTCACCAAACTTTTGTTAAAATATTATACTTTTATCTTTATAGCAGGACTGACTCTCATGAAGCATATCAAACTTTTGAATATGTAGTACAAAATCCAAGACATAGTACAACAGAATTTACAAAACACGCCATCGCAACCTCAAGCGCTCGTTCTAATTCCGGTGAATGTGAAGCTGCCGTCAGACGCTCTTATTCATCGGATATTGATCATCGTCAAACAAAAGATAACTCGTTACACCCACATGATGAAGACGATGTGTAAGTTTCATTTCCCAAAATTAAAATGCTCAATTTTAAATATGAGTGTCCTCCTCAAGAAAACTTCTCTTACTGAGACTAATTTGTTCTTATTGGTACAGCTAGTAATGTCTATTAAACCAAAAAAAATCTTAACGTCATAAACTGGTAACAGCCTTTGTAACCTTACCGATTTACTCAATTTTGGGTACTCCTGAAGTATGTGAACCAAGATGGTGGACACCGGAACGTAGTATGTGTACCAGGTCAGGCCATAATTTCATTCCAATTTTCCTTATTTTAGTTCTATTATGAGTTCGGGACTAGCCAAGTGACTCCCGTAGTATTTGTATCTGAAATTATGGCCTAACCCTAACCTGTTACACATACTATGTTCTGGTGTCCGCCATCTTGGTTCACGTACTTCGGGAGTACCCAATTTTGTACCAATTTTTGTTGTGTTATGTTGGTGTTGCATGTTAAAATCTGGTTTAACCCTATACCCATCGCTCAGAGTATAATAATTGATGACAATACTCGATCGAAAAGTTTTTTTTTTTCCTAAATATTGGCTCCTTACCATATCTTACCATATCTCTTGTACAAAGCCTCATAGCTAAGATGTGTAAACGTCCCATAAAAAATGGATATAACATTGACTCCTATGTTAAATGCGAAATGAGAAATTTGTGAAATTCTTGAGTTTCTGAAAATCAGCATTTATAATGATATAAACTATGTTTCTGATTTTTTTTTATACACACCTTTTGCTCCATACATGACTCTGCATGAGCAGCAACTGATATGTAAGCTGCCACTTTATTTTGGAATAACATAATCTTCCAGGCTCGGCCTTGCTCACCCAATTTTTTTATACGGTTGTGGTATTGCTCATTTAGATGATAAATTCAATACAAATTAAGATTCTTCTTTCTTTGATCATTTACTAAACATTGAATAATTTTTATTTTTCTAGGTTTTTACCTACTGTGAATCCCCATGCATCCCAACAATACTTTTCAATGTCGTCTCCTTCGAGTAATTCCACGGAACAAATCCAAGTTGCAAGACCTTCAAGTGAGAGTGAACATTTGCCTCACGTTTCTCCACCTAAGAAACGATCATTGTCAACAGGAGTGGCAAATAAAGATGATAAAACATCAAAAAAGGTAATTAAAAAAGGAATTATGTAGCCATATTTTTGCCAGTTTCTGGACAATATACTTTTCTATTGTGTGCCACAATATCTTTTTAAAAAAATTAGAATAACCCTTATTGCCTTTTTCTAGTGAGATTTGCTTTTCCTGCAGTAAAATCATGTATTTTCAATATATCAACTCAACACATAATTTTTTTACATTATTTTTTTCATTCATGTACAGACAGGCACAGCCCACAGACATTGCCTACATATATTATTACACCCTTCTGAGGTGCCAAATGTATCAATTTCAAAAAATTGAAAATAAATTTATTGACATTGAAGAATCCAGAATACCAAATTGGAAATTAATATCCCTATTGCAAATATATATTTACTATAATTGGTGTTAGTTCAGGGATTCATATCAATCAGATAATTAATGATGGAAAAATGTGCGCAAGCTATATGTTATCGATTTAAAATAAAAACTTGAGGTGCTATCGTATCCATCGATGAAATGATGAAAAATATAAAGTAAAAATTTTAGGTCTTAAAACACATAAAAGCTTATGCAATGACCAGCTATGCCCAAAACAAAACGAATATTGAAATTCATATGAAATTGGTTTTAATGGATAAAATAATTTCTTGATTTTGGGAGTACCGTAATATAAAGATTACCATTTTTATAATTTGGCATCTGATGGTAAGACAAAAATAGACTTCATTTTACCTATATCACTGTGAAAAAATTGAAAAATAGATTGAAAGTATTCTCCATTATGAATTAAAACAGTCTACAATGATTTAATATAAATTTCCTGTTGAAATTGTCCAATTTCCACAATATAAAATATGATTTTATAATGCACTCGGAACAGCAAAAATTTTTTTTTTGGTCATCAGTGGCAGTAAGCAATCTAGCTTTCATATCATTATCAATCACCTAATGAAGAAAATTCTAATTAAAAACTTCGATTTCAGCACAAAGGCACTACTGACAAACAGATACCCACTTCGTGTGCCAGTTTACTTGGCGAGGATCACATCAGGAGACCAATGAATGCTTTCATGATATTCAGCAAACGTCATCGTGCACTTGTTCATCAATATCATCCCAATCAAGACAACAGAACTGTTAGTAAAATACTTGGTGAATGGTGGTACGCTCTACAACCATCAGAAAAGAGAGAATATCATGATTTAGCTTTTCAGGTATAACTGACTTAATAATCTTTTATCGAATCTTCCAAAATTACAAAAATGAATCCTACTGGGCAGCTATTTTCCCGTCTTTCACATAATTCTTAAACTCAAATACTTCTATTCTGTTACAGGTAAAAGAAGCACATTTCAAAGCACACCCTGATTTCAAATGGTGTAACAAAGATCGCAGAAAATCAGGAAGCACATCACGATCTCGTCGGACATCAGAATCATCAGTGGGCTCTGCAGATTCGAGTTTGTCTCGACCACATAATCCTTCCACATCGTCTCACCACCCTGGCGTTTCTGGTTCTGGTGTTACGTCAGGTAGTGCCACCCCTTTTTCTCCTATGTCACCAAATGCTTCTGGGCACTTTCAAAATCAAATGTTGTCACCTGGCACAGGAATTATGCCGTCTGTTCCCCATGTTGCACCACTAGCGGGGGTAGCAGGTCAGCGTCAAAGTATAGTCCTGTCAGAAGTCACTACCTCATCTGTTGTTGCGAGTTTGCAGAATCCCAATCAAAGCAGTCAGCAACCAACCACGACGACTCTTCCTCATCAATTCTTAAAACCGGCAGCGGAATCGATAAGCAGCAGATCCAGAACTCCATCTTTGGAAATCGACCTCAAATGTAGAGAAAAGGTAGTGTGTCTTTAAATTAAAATACAGTAATTTTAGAAATGTTTAAAATGTGGGTTGAATGGCCTGCTGGTTGGAACGTTGAACCTGGCTTTGTTGGCATCACAGGTGAAATACATCAGGTTCACACCTCACACCCACCATCTTAACAGATGGTGTAAAAAAATTGGGTAGACTATAGCAAACCGGCAATAGTTAGATTCGAAAAATAGTGGCTCATGCTGTATCTTGTATAGGGAATGGTTAGGAGTTATAGCGGTTCAATGTTGTAAACTAATTATGGTACCGTACCAAGAGAGATAAAGAATGAGAATGACAAAAATCTTTCACTTTCCATAAACTTATGCAAATACTAAATTGTCTTTAATTAGTATATATTCAACCTACAATCACTTTAACTTTTATATTCGCTGTCGATATATTGTTCACGTTTTTCTTCCTTTCGTACTAAAAAGAAATCTTGCCGGTCTTCAATGGGTTTAATTAAAACAGCTGTTTATTTGAATATATTGGCCACAATAATAACACTGTATTAATATATTTAGGTTGTTACTGATTCTGACATTGATATTTCTGATGATGAACCGGATGGTAGAAGAAAGCATCAACAACATTATCCTATTTTGCACAATACTTCATCTGTATCTCGAGCTCAAGTAATCATCTCTTATTTCATTGATATTGAATTCATTTCTGTATAGTTTGAGATACATGTTTATTCCAACATTATCAATCGTAATATTAGTCAACGGCTAGAGTTTGCTATTAACTTAAGCCATAGGTTATCAAAGTACGAAGCTCTGCCAGCTATTCGATTACTTACTAAAATACTGACTTTAATATATGTAAATTTGATGATATGCACATATGTAAGGACTTTGTTTTGGAACGACCAGAATACTGGTTCAGCATTGCTCACCCAATTTATTATCCTCTAGATGAGGTGGTGGCATTTGAAACCTAGATTTTAACCTGTGTAATGTGCATCGCTTTACCATTGGGCCCACGCTACCAGCAGTTTTCAGCAATCGAATTATACCTTGCCAATCCCCACGAGAATTTAACAAGGATGTCATACATTGAAACTAATCATGTACCGGTAATAGCAAGCTAGTCATTCAGATCCTTGGCGCATTGATCGTCAAGAAATTGAGTTTGACTGTTTGTAATTGTGGTCTGGGTACTCAGATTTTATCTTTTCAACTTTATATGTAAAAAATTCTTTGTTTACCAGACTTCCTCATCCACCGATACAAAGTGTAAGAGGCCCAAACCCATCAAACCAATGGCAGGTTCCAGTGGTTCTGCCAGTCCACTTATTGGATCAGGTCCTACTGCAGGAAAAAGCTCAAGTCCTTTTCAACCCACCGGTAAAGTTTTCAAGACGCTATCACCTAGGCCTGGACATGCTCCTCTTCCGAATACCACTGGCAATATGAAAAGTGTTGCATCTGCCCAGATGTCCAATGTACAGGCTTTGAGCAGTTCAGGTATGTGTACAAGTTTTAATGATTGTGTGTACATGACTCGTTCTGAAAAATTAAATTGCGCTCAAATTAGTGATTTGCTTTGAATAAAATTCTACCTATTTCATTGCTATATGGGAAATCATTTTTTTATTATATAGCTAAATTATTTCTTATTCCATTATCAGCATTACCTACAGTCTATTAAAAAAGTCTAAAAAGACGTTTGCTAACTGATAACATAACTTGTAGACTGACTAGAATGCGTTCTGTTGCTATTTTTATTCTCAATATTGCATAATACAACTGATAGTATTATCTTTCATGTAAATATAAAGTTTGTATATCTCTAAAGGACAATACAGATTTATCATTTATGGAATTTACCTTTGCATCTGTATTATTTAGTAATTCTGTTGCTTTTTCACATCATTTTATAAATACACTTGAAATTTCTTTCTTATTTTGCAGAACTTCCTGGAGTCGGTCAGTCTATCAGTCTCTCTCAAGGACATGTCCAATTTGCCGTAGCACAACAGAGTCGATCATACCAGCCTACCATGATTATAGGACCGGGCGGTGTACAATATTTGGCTTACTCTGCTCCGCAAGCACAAAACTCTACATCCTCAAGTTCCAATGTCCCTGGCGCTGGCGGAAATATAGTCATTGTACCGTTACAAAACGGCCAGATTTCTAGTTTAAACCATCCGGTTCCTCCACAGAAATTGCCGACTACATTTCCAAATCAAATTCAAGTGACAACCAGAAATACAAGTATCGTAAGCTTTTCCGAAAATGCCAGAATTTCAAGCTTCATGTCCCATATAACCACAACAGCTGCAGCAGTCAGTATTACTATGGCTTCATCTACAATCAACACTGCTATTTCACAGGTAATTTTTCTTCATCAGAGCTTTCAATAATCTCATAGCCCAGAATATCTTAAACTAAGACACCATGGAACAGTTTTCTGAGGGTCATGAGGGATTTAGGTATTGTTTGTAACGTTTGACTGCATGAATTCGAGGTGAATTAACTGTGATTGTTTAATTGTCGATCGGAATGCCTTTACTTTTTACTTTTTTTCATCGGCTAGTTAATATTGAATATTGCCAATAAAAACCTGGTGGAAACCTGTTAAAAGCAGAACTAGGTATTTTTATCCAAGAGCAGGTGGCTACGGATTGTTGAGTCTTCAGAATAAGTCCATGGATTGTGAAAGTTTGAGAACCACCGTTTAGTGTGCTTTTTGTCTGATTTAGCGAAGTTCTAACTCATTCTTGTTTTATGCACCCTTTCACTGATTTTGCAATAACAGTTTGTATACAATTCCATTTATCTAGGTATCAATAAAGACTACGACTGTCCCGCCAAGTTACGTGACAGTAATGTCCTCCGTTGCAAACGCCACATCTGCACTGAATGCCTATGCCACATTGCCAGGGACCAGGCCGACACTGCCACCACACGCGACTCATAATTATGGTAAGTTAAGTTTTTGTTAAGCTTGGGTTATGTGGCCAAGTGGTTAAAGCGTTATATATATACCTAAGGTGTAATAAATTGGGTAGGCAGTAGGCACTAGGTAATGCGTTTTTAAACTATAGTTGCTTGTTATTTAAGAGTTGCTGCTGTGCAGAGCAGAGGGTATATAAATGCACCATTTAAAAAAATTAGGCTATAAATTATATCAAAATTTGCAAGCAAAATAAGTAAATATCAGTTTTGTCGCAGAATCATTTAAAATTGGTTGTGATTCAAGTAGGCTTGCACGTAATTGACAAAAATCAATTCCGTAATTACGGCAAAATCAATTACGTAATGACCCCGTAATTGCGATATTTTTCCACGCATTTAAACCTATCATAACAACCAATTGAATCCACTTCTTTTCCGAATGGGACATTGAAGTTGGGTTTTCATATTCTTGGCAGTACTACACGCCGTCGGCAGATGTTAAAGACAAATATCAAGGAGTGAATTCAAATTAAATTTATTCTGATTTTTATCTTTTGTGTTAGCTTTGGTTTTCCTTTATCACCTTCGCAAATTAACCGTCCCATTTTTATGCGATCAATTTTATTTTATCATTAGCGACACGCCCCGACACTGGTATGCGGATATTTATGAAAACGACAGTTTTTCAAAACCACCTTAGTACTGAATAAAAATTACGGGTTTCTAATTTATTAACCAACGACGAGCGTATTCTCTCGTTTGATTATACTTGCGATTTCCTCGCGACGAAGACTTATTTTTGCAGCGTCTTCTGCATTATCCGACATTACTGCCTTGTTAGCATTTTATAATAATAAATATTGATGTCGACTTATTGACGATATTCCGATTACCATGCTTCATTTTACATTTAATCATTTCGCGGACTGAATGTTTATAACATTATTTGCGATAAATTTAGATCAAATATTATTTATTTGCGTATAATTTAAATACCGAACTTATATGATATGCCTTCTCCAAAAATACAATGTTATATCGCAAAATAATGCATTTTGTGACATTTATTTTACACTCACGACATTTATTTGCTAACTCAAGTCGGCGGTCCTATCGGCCAAGATTGACACAAATTTGGTCGAGTGCCGGTGGTATTCAAGTCGACGATAAATCAAAATAAGTTGCCGCATTTGGTAAGACAGTTAATCATATATGGCCGAAATATTGATCATGAGCAAGGCCAAGTCCGGACTGATATATAACGATAAAACCGTTAACAGAACATCAAGATTTTGTAATAGAAAATGGATCTCGCACAGAATAAACACACTGGCTCATATTATTTGATAGCAGTTAAATTTTTAGCGGTCCGCGAGGAATCCGTCGTTTTGTTGTTTCTCTGCGTCTCAATCGCTTTACCGATGCCGAGAAGACGAAGTTGCGTTGGTTCATTACGCAATCTCTCTTTTGTCGTCATATTGCTATTCGATAAGCGCGACATTAATTATCACGGCGAGGTATTGGCGCGAGTGATCAACCGCTCTTTTCGCTTATTTGGTTCCAATTCGTCGCGAAAGCTCTTCGTTAAATTTCACAAGATCGTCGTGTTGAAAGGTTATGGATATTTTCCTGTTTATACCCCAAGTCTGAAATAAAACAGCCAAAAACAGTATGATATTCCATGTTCATATATCAAGTGTTGATATTAACAATAAAGAATGGTTACGCATTGCTAATCCACACTTGGTGGGGAATTCCCACTATTTAAACGTGTGACTATAAAATAGAAACGGAACATATATACCATAAGTAACGGAAAACTGGAACAAGTAAATAATAAATAAAAGTAAAATGGATACAGATGTTTGATAGACCATGTTTGATAGATTGATCTCCTGCGTTCATTAGTCATTTCACCCGAAGAAGTTGAAACCGGGCGTGTTAGCGTCCATCGGTCTTAACACAATTCTTCCCCCTATCTACGGTTATTATGTACATTGGCCATGGCCATGCTAGATAAGATGCGAGAGAAGTTGAAACCAGGTGTGTTGGCGCCAATCGGTCTCAACGCAATTTTATCCCTTATCTACGGTTAAGTTGCGGGAGAAGTTAAAACCAGGTGTGTTGGCGTCAAACGGCCCTACTCAGTTCTTCCCCCTTAACTACGTTAATAATTTACATTGGCTTTCATTTTTCGCAATCGACGAAATTGACTGCTTTGAAGAAAGCTCGTTTCAATGCAATAATTACGACTTTACGTAATTCGTAACTTCCCTTCCGTAACTCCAAATAATTACGTAATTACGTAAATCCGTAAATTACGTGCAAGCCTAGATTCAAGTCGAAATTTGCATGCAAAATAAGTAAATATCAGTTTTGTCGCAGAATTTATTATTTAAAATTTGTTGTAATTTATGTCAAAATTTGCAAGCAAAGTAAATATCAGTTTTGTCACAGAATTAATTATTTAATATTTGTTGTAATTAAAATCAAAATTTGCAACCAAAATAAGTAAATATCAGTTTTGTTGCATCATTAATTATTCAAATTTTGAGTCATAATTTTCACCGTCGCCAAGCTTAACCATTATTATTATCCTGTCATTTATTACCACTAAGTTCCAGAATGTAGTCCCAGTGATAGAAGCTCCTAAGTTTTAATATTACTTCAAACAGATACAAGAACACCTATGTCATTTCCAATTGGAGTCCCTCCATCCGTGCCACAAATGTTTCCTCCTGTTATGACAACTGAAATTCAAAGGGCTCGACTTTCACATCCAATTGCTTCAGCATCGGCACAGTTTGGGAATCACCCAGTTATACCAAGTTCTCATTCAGCTAATATGTAAGTTTTACTATTTTATTATAGTTTTTTTTTAGTTATTATTGAGTAATTAAATTTAAAAATTTAACTTAATTTGATACTCATCCAATGAAATATCATCTCCTTCCATTTTAACGAATCACAAAACTTTTTTTATAATTTATTTTTCTAAACGCTGGACACGTAAAACAGTTAGTAATATGGAACAACGCCGCAACACTTCTCATATTTATAATTGGGAAGAGGAAAGCTGAAAAAATGGCATAATCATATGGCAAACCATGACCTTTTGTCCGGTTACCAGTCCATGTCGGGTATGGGAATAATTTCAGATTCATGGACTCTATGTAGCACAATGCGCCAATCTCTGTAAACCACTGATTTGAATATTAACTGATTGCATACATTAGGTTGATATTTTGAAATTTCTCTATTGAAATAATATCTCCCAGTTTACCACCATTTAAATGATTTTTCAGTCAATTCTGAATTCTATTTCCTATTTGTATTCCAGTGAAAGAAGAAAAAGTCTTGGGTTTCCTTCATCTGGTGAGGATAAGGTATCTTTGCCTTCTACTGGTACCAGAGCACCAGTTATCGGATACAGTCCTGCTATGGCGAGTCAACCTATACATCGACGCGGACATTCTATACCTACAACAATGCCATTATTAACATCGGCAACACACTCTATTTACCCCGTTGCCATACCACCAACTGTGTCACATTATCGTAGCACTTCTGTCCCCAGCCAACACGAAGGACAAGTACAGAGACCAGAGCCTGCTCCAATGATCAAACCTACTTCTGCCATGTATTTTGTAACTGTGCCCTCTCGCCTTGCACCGAGACTTACAGACGGCCCGTCACCAACTTTGACGGCGCAAAGTCGTATTATGCCAGGACACGATAATTTTGCTATGTCAGTTCCTCATAATGCTGCAGGACCAACAATTCAAGATTCAAATGTCTCGCATGGAAGTAATGTCATGACGATTCCTCACAACTTAGCTATTAATGGTAGCTTGGCTGGAGCGTTGCCGTTTCATCCTGCCCATCCACAGTCATTTGTCATTGCAAGTATGTTTGGTTTGAAATACTTTTTTGTGATTCCAATTACGAATGTTGGGATTGTAAGTAGGAAGATTAAATAAATATATAATTTCAAGTATAGCCTGAATCAGAGACATTTCAAAAATTTTGTTTATTTGACACTGAATGCATAGTCAAATATAGGTTTCTAAAAACTATTTTTTATGACCATACTATTTATTTATGACCATACTGTATACCATACCAGTATATTTATGGTATCTTTAGGATTACCAATATTTATAGTATAGAATTTTCATATTCATATTGGGGGAGAGGACGGGAAGACGGCTTAATCGCATGGCGAACTACGAACCTTATGTTATTATTGTGTGTTGGGTAGGCGAGTAGGATACTAATCTCAAATGTACAAACTTGAACCAACCTGGTGTGGAAACCTAAATTTTGATTTGTAAAATATCTGTCTTCAAAATATTGAATTTATCTTTCATTTGGGGGTAAAACCACTGAGAAATGACAAAGACAAAATGTTAATTATAAAGTGATTGCTTTATTCCTGGCATTATGTAAACTTATACAATTATTGATCTAATAACTAATATGGTAAGATCTCCAACATGCTAGTGATAACCAAACACTCTGTTAGCCAGGCTTATCATAGTAATTCATGCAACTGTTTGTTTTCCACCATTTGTGTATACATTCCAAACATTCTATTATTAAATACATATGTATAATCTTAATAATATATGACTGACCCATTTAAATTTAATTTCCTTATTTTTTCACCATCATTTATTTTCAGCTAATGTCTCAACTACACAACCAAGTGCTACTTTGCTGGACAGACATAGGATCAATGTGGCTGCACCATTGAAAGTTCGTGCCTCTGTAGCCAATGTACCTATTGTAACGTCCGAGTCATATGCTGGAGGAACAAGTCATTTTGTTGTCAGAGATGTAAGTTTATACTTTATATTTGATTGCAATGTTTAATGAATTCAATACAAGAGAGCAAAACTCATATGATATGTAAAGGCTGCTAGTATTACCGTGCTGATAAGTTGAAAAAATACAAAAGTAACAACCTTTTTGACTCTTTCATCTTAAACTTTCAAAATTTTGGATTAGTCCAGTAGTTGAAAAGTAGATGGATTTTTTTTGGTTTCGACCATAAATGCTAGAATATATCGACAATACCAATTTAAAAAAGCTATCCACTGGTTAACTAAAATGTAAAATTCTAATGAAGAATGATTTGGATAACTACTCAGTAGTGTTTCTATCATTTGACACACTGTCACTGGTCACTATAAACCAAGAGTGATGCTTAGCAGTTAGCACTGGCTCCTTGTCCTGAAAATGAAAGTTTTCTTCGTTAATGATCTCCGTTTATTAAAAAGAACTACAATCATCCATCATTGGCTGAATGGTCTTGAGTTTAAACTCTGGCCAGTTGAGTCACTTTGTCTTTCAATCCAAACCAACTAACCCAGAGTACAAAAAATTGGAACTCCAACTTTTTACAAAACGCACAAAAGCTCTCCATGACTCAATGCTCTGTACAGAGCTTTATTCACATTGAGACACATTAAGCAGAATAATATATAAATAAATACAGATAAATCTAATTGAACCTTTTCTGTGTAGGCCTTCTCTTCGGTGAACACCACAAATTCATTGCAAAATGTCATGTCATCGATTGAAAAACCAACAGCTGATTCAACAGAGATGAAAAATGTGGTAGAACCGAATCGATCTGTGCCTTATTCTGCGGTGAGAACTAGCAGACTCAGTCAGGTATGACCATGGAAAACACCTGCAAAATAAATTACCCAAGTGTTTTGTGCAAAAATGAAAAAATAATTTCTAAAACATTGTTTTACAGGATTCTAATGCTTCTTCATCGAGTACAACATCATCAGTGTTAAAATTAGATCCTGTACCATCTAAATTTTTATCGAGAAGAAAGAAAAGTCTGCTTTATTCTTCATCCGAAGGAGAATACCAAGAAGAAAATGAAAGGTAAATTAGATCAGGCATCTTGATGAATAAGTGAATTTGAAGATACTGATAAGAATTAGGAAGACGGGGAATATCTAATATCTCAAGACTGAATTTCATCAAACCAGATTTGGTCTGATAATTGGATGCGGTTTGTTAGGCATATGACATTGGGCCGTTTTATCAGCTTCTCTCTCCTGGATAAATATGGAAATCCTATTTTTTAGATCAGGGGTTTACAACCTGCGGCCCGCAAGGAAAAATTGTGCGGCTCGCAGAGAAGTGCTAATTTTGAAATCTGTGCGGCCCGTGAAACGAGTTTTTACTTTGGTTTAATCTGAAACATGCGAGTAATCCCAATTCCTTCTCATTGCAAAGCCAATATCGGAGTCCAATTTATGCATATAGCGTTACAATGCCCGAAGCTAGCCTCTGCGAAGTAAACAACGCATGTCATAAGATCAATAACCAAAATATTTGTGCCTGCAAAGGCCTATGTTAAAAAAGGTGCAGCCTCCGGTTTCACTCAGTCACTTGTATCTGGCCCTCTTATATTAAAGGTTATACCCCCCTTGTTTTAGATGATCCTCAATCTTACATCAGCATAACTTCATTGAACCCTCGATCTTAATCCTAATCCACATCAATGTGCTATAAAGTCTAAATGACATTTTTGCCTTATCTCAATTTATGTGTATGTTATTTATTACAGATTGGAAAAAGAGTTTGAAATATCTGAAGAAGATGCTCAGGTAGAGACATATTGCATTATCTTGTTATCTATTTTCTTATATTGAGCAGATTGGCAATGGTCATATGTAATAAATATCGATATTCTAGAATCAGCACTGTGAAAATATTCTAGATATAATGCTAACTTATGGATATGGTATTATATGGATTTTTTGGGAACTGAGTACTTGTCCTTATAATATGCATTTTGCGGAGTGGATTCTTATACATATAACGCAAGGATACTGTGGCTAGAATGAAAATAACTTTAGGTGATTCAAAAATGTGACAGAAATCTATGTGTTAGTTGCAACTCTTGAATACAAAGTGATAGTAGGCCTATATGCCAAACTCATTAAATTTTTGGTTTGATTGTTCATAGCCTATTCTGTTTTGATAGGCAAATACAACTGACGTCATTGAGGCACCATTTTACAACAAAATATCTTCTGTCAAAATATTACAAAAGAAGGCCGACATGAAAGATCAGGATAGAGATAGAGACAGGTTTGTTTAACGGGATATGAATTTTTTTCCATACGTGTATAGGCAAGTGTAGTGGTGTAATTACCGGCTATAAATAATAAATGCCTGCTTTTAAATTAAACTCAATCTCGTGATCGTTATTGTGTACTTTAGGCCTTTTGAAGTTGTAAACATGTAGGCCTAAAGAATAAAGACAAAAGGTCAATTCTCATTCCACATCTCTGCCTCATTTTCCTTTGAAATGATAGAAAATCACTCATGTTTGCTAAAATCGGTTCAGAAAATAAATAAAATGCAGCTCAATAAATTGCAGCAAGTAGTGTCTTCCTCTTTTGTAACGTAACAGTTTGTAGCAATAGACACAGACACTACATAACAGGAAGTGAACGACATAGAAAAATAGAATGAATTTATTGATCCATATACACAACACTTCTAATAAATACAATATGTAAAACATTCAATCATATATTAGTTATGTTCAACACAATTCTGTTAATTTCCGAGATGCACTTATCGCCTTTTTTGGGAACTGCCTTTGGGAACCTGTCTTTTTATAGTGCAAGAAGTAAAACTGAGTTCAGGCATTAATCTTATTTCAAGTGCTCAAGAAAACAGGTTTTCAGTTTTTGTTTTGTTGCAGGATACTATGTCAAGTCAATTTTAAAGAACAATTCAGTCAACTTCCGCAATTTAAACCTGAGTTAGTACCAACACCTGGAACACCGAAAGAACTTCCAACAACTCCTGATGTTTTGTTGCAAAGTTATAGAAAGAAGAGAAAGCTTTCTACAGGTAATTTGTAATCTTTTTTTTTCCATTCACTATGGGTTGTCATCAGAGACGCACGCAGTCAGGACTTTCAAAAAGGGGGGTTCAAAATAACGCCACCCGTTGAAAGTGTGGATAATGATTTTTTTGATGAGCAAAATATTACAAGATATGTGCATTTTAAAGTGTCTTGCTATAGTAATTTAATTGCGTACACCATAACTCGTGGTTGCGTCAACTGACAACAAATTATAAACATAACCACACTAAAATAGTTTGGCTAAATTACCCGATTTCAGACATGATATGAGGTTCATATTTGGATGAGTATTTTAGTATTATTCTTTGTATTTATTTTGATTTCAAATCAGAAATGTCTGAAGTATCCGAATGTATTCGAAATTGGTGTATATTTGAAATTTCAAGTTCTTGGTTTTAGGAATTCTCTGTTTCCATTCTCACTTATTATGGGCATCTCATCTCCTCTCTCTGTTTTAAACATATTATTGATATTTATTTTCTTGTATATACTCCAGAATCTCCAAACACTCCAACTTCTCCTCATTTAAAACGAAGACCAAGAAAAAAAATCCACAATATTGGTTGTGAAACACCTCACTCAGCTAATTCACTACCAAGTTCTGCAACAAATACTCCTGCGTCAACTTCTGGAGGCGATATATTTACATTCGAACATGGAGAGTCAATCCTAAGAAAAGGTTAGTGTAAGATATATTGTATAAAAGACTATTTTGCTATCTTCAACCGTGGGAATGTTGACAATTTAGTTGCACCATAAAGTGGGACAAATTGGTCGATAAATTTGTGAATGGCTGAACATTTTACAACAGCTTCCAATTTTCTCGGAATAATGAACGCTCAAGCCATTTGATGTTATATCAGAGAGACGTTAACAGCTATCAGCATTAAATGTTTTTCTCATCTTTCTTATCCAAATTTATCAGAGCAAGGCACAAACCGTTTCATAAAAGTAGAAGAAGATACTCATGGAACAGTGGCAAGAAATCAGTTATATGTTCTGACAAAATATCCGAGAGACACTTGTTGTCATCGACCTTAGTCTGTAGCAGCAGCAAACTGGCTAGGTGTAGCTAAGTTCACAAAAAAATTAATCTCAATGCAAAATTATGTTATTATAAGGAGATCAAAAAATTATTTTTTTTTCATTTAACTTGATTTTACTTTTTCCTTGTATGTGTTTTAGTGGTTGAACCGTTTTTTTAATGGGGTGTTTGAAACTTCCAAACTATGGTTCACTCTTGAAAAGATACATTTTTTTTATTATAGTGCTAATATTTACATATCTATTCTTTCAGATGATTCTGATACATCTGAACCTCCTGATTCAAGAGGAAGTTCATTGAGGAAGATTCTTGATCTCAGAAGATCTCTTGTGATGAAATTATTCGAAGAGCATGGATTTTTTCCTAAAAGTAAAAATCATGCAAATATTTTTTTTCTATCTCTAATTTTAAGACTCTTATGACCCATGACTCAACTTGACCTGCTTGGTTTAGAAACTTTTACCCCAAAATGATGCTTTTTCGTTGTTTGATTAATTCTGATTAAATTAAAATAAAGTTATTTATATATTTTTTCAATTTCAGATCAAATTACGGCAGAATTTCAAGCCAATCACTCTGATGTGTTTCCAACCAAAAATTGTCTTCAGCTGAAGATAAGAGAGGTATGTCAATGCGATCAATACGTAACTTTTGATAGTTTTTCTCATTTCAGTCTAGCAAATCTTTAAAAAAAAATGTTAATTTGATTGTTTTCCTGTATCTTGTCAACTGACCAAGACATTTGGAACATATTCTTGAGAAGATGTTAATTTTGTTTACAGCGTCAAGGATTACTGGGACTTTTGGGTACAATGGGTACCCATGGTAATTTACGGTATCTATTCTGTTTTTCTGGGCCACCTTGTTCATATATAATTCTTGGCTGTCATAATTACTTGCAACTCTTTTATCGGTACTTCTACTGTTAGTAGAAAGCTCAGAGTAATCTTGCCTAAACAAAAGCTTGAATATTATTTTTATTTCTTTTTCTAGGTTCGTCAGAAAATATATCAATGTCAACAAGATGAAGAACCAGCTACAAAGCAAACTTCTTCTACGACTTCGAATCTAGTACAATCCAAAATATCTTAAAAACCTTCCAGATTATTGTCCGAGGGACAACAAATAGACTTGGCTAAAGGGTGAGCAATAAAGCCAAATGCTCAAATATTACAAAGAAAAACCAAAATAACTCAATAAAATCATTTTGGGTTATTTATCATGAGGTTACATATTGGTTATTGCCGACCGAGTATGACCCGATTATGGCAAAAACTTTATGGGTTATAACTGCCAGATTCAGAACTGATTAAACCATTGACTGATTATGAATCCGAAGCACAAAATTTCTCGAATGAATGAAGCATTTCGTCGAAAAGGAAATTTGCTTGTCATTTATAAATTTCATGTTGGAGATTTAATAATGTGAATGACTGACTATTCATTTTTGTACATACTTCTGAATTGAATATTCTTATTTTTCCTGTACTGTAGTCGACGTGTTTTTATTTTGAAGGTGGCCAAATTGTTGGAAAAGGTGGAATGCATATTCGTTTGTCTCTGTTTTTAACAAATCAGTGCCTATTGAAAAGCGTACATTTTTGAACTTGAAGAATAAAGCCAGTTTGAGGTCTCTGTATGCATTTGAAGGTTTTTTACTTTTTGTTTTCGTGTCGGTTTAATATGTTTTCTTGCATTTCATCGTGAATTTTGAGTTGTTGTAACGATAGTTGTTCTTGTATTCAGCATTTCACTATCTTCTTCTTTCTTGTGCGATTTAGCATATTACAAATGCTTTTACATTGTTAACAACAACACAAATTGCTAAGTTCCATTTTATTTTTATGCTATTATCATTTTAACGAAGCGCGAGGTAGTGTATGTATACACGGTGTCCTATTTGTTCTAATTTAGCTTCATTTTTTGTTACCACTACCATTAGCGTTCCGCTATTTTTCTTTGTTTGCTTGACTCCGTTTTTTTTTCTTGTATTGTACATATTTGTACTTTTATTATTATTCTATTATGTTTGTAAATAATATTGCCATGTTTTTATGTGCCTGTGACCAAACAAGGGACAGTATTATTATAAAATTATGGCACAGTTGCTCAAGCGACGTGACATACGCTTTTAAAAATATAATGCACATTTTTGTGACAATTCGTTCGCTTATTTTGTCACCCAATTTACTACGCTTGTCACATTTTCTTGTTATGTTTTCGTCGAAATGCTTGGCAGTTGGGTGTCTATAAAATAACTATTGCAGAATGAAATTAGCTTGTTTAATCAAAACTATATATTTCAATTGATAATGACTTAAAGATTAATTATTCTACTTGATTGAACGCAACTATATTTTCCTATAAATAATATAAAATTAAATCTACTATTTCGGAAATGTTGTCGATGGTTTTGAACTAGTTACCATACCAATTATCTTCTTCATAGACATGAATTGGTAGATAATATTTGGTCGAGTCTTTTTGTTCAATTTGTATTACTAATTGCAATTTATAGAAATATTCGAAAATTTCATTTAATAACAAATTTCAGCTATCATGCGTGTGTTGAGTTGTCTTTCAAAAGTGAGTTTAGTGGCAATATGATAATTCTTGTCATAGATTTTTAAACTGCCTTCATGAAACTTTATGTAAAAACGATTTTATTTTACCCATTCAAATTGTTGAAATCGAGCATGGACAGGGGTACTTTGCAGTGGTTTCCAGTTCCTAACCTTACTCGGCCTAATATAAATGTTTTCGATTTAACAGGGTGTGTATTTTTGTACATAGCATTCTCTCTTCCATTGTTTTTTCTTTGTATCTTCATCTTTAATTAGAAATTTTTCACTCAAGCACTGCCAAGCATGGACTGAGTCAAAATACTATTCTTGACAATGCTCGGTCAAGTGTGAATTTCTATTAAATATTCGTTTTTTGTTCATTTGATGAAATTTTTAGCGGTTTATTATTAAAAAAATATTAGATGATTTTGTAATTATCCTGATCTTATGATTTTAATACACAAATGCTCTTCAAGTTCCGTCAAATATAAAACTTGTAATCGGTAATATTATCTGATCTTATCTCAAGTTTTATATTCATACTATATTGAAAAAATTTTAGATTATTGAAAAATTTTTAGATAAATGTTGCACTGTCTTTTATGTAGAGAATTATTTTGGCGATTTAGTAGCTCACATGAGTTATTATATTATAAATGGACAGTTATATGAATTATATGGCCACAGTAGAACCAAAATATCTCATGTCACATTTTTAGTTTTTAGAAAAATAGCATTTTATCAATAGTTTGGTTCTAACAGCTATACTGAAAAATTGGCATAAAGGGGTACTACCGTAGTATATGTACTAGGGCAAATTAGGGTCAGGCCATAATTTTATCATGATTTTTCTTAAGCTTTCCAGTTGAACCGAGAGTTCGCGGACTGTCCTTTATACAACTTGATGTGAAGTAGGCGAACAAAATTAGTTACCTCCATATAGGTACATACACCTCTGGGGCGCCCATAAAAGACTACTTAGAATCAAAACTAAAACGAATACAGCTTCGAAAACCCAGACTCAGGAGATGGTCCCGGGTCCATAATGACAGATAGATATAAAAGTCCATTTCAGAATAATGTGATATGAGCTACTTTCGTTTTACTGCGGCTATATTCTTGAGGGTAAAAAATCTAAAATTTTGCATATGTGGTTTATTATTATAGCACTAATCAAATGTTATTGAAACAAACTGCACTACTACTTTTTAATAAATAATATTTTATTTTCGATTTGAAATTAAACAATTCCCATTATACAGTACCCTGTTCATTTACATAGCTCATTTGCGACATTTACCGAATATATGTCGCCTATTCATAATACTTATATCCATTAGATTTGATTTCATAGTTTAATTTCTTAACAATATTTTCAAGCGACGCGTTTTGGGGTTTCAGGATTAAGAATTTAATAAAGACGCTGTTATCTGTTACTACTTCACTCTATTATAAGTTTTCTTTCTTCTGTTCAGATTTTTTCTCCGCATTCTGAATTGTTTTTGTTGAGCATGAGCCTCAGGCAGTCAGTAGTTCACTTCGACTGTATTCTAAATGGGCCAAGACAATGATTATAAATATAGATAAAGATAAAAATGTGTAGTACTCTTATTGGCCACTTAGAATATAATTTCCCTGGCATATATGTTAAAATTTTCAAAAATTCATACCATACTTACCCAAAAAGTTGTCACAGTATTTTTTATGTTTTGAAACAACAGTTTTCAAGATGTTTTAAGATTCCTATCGGGTTCCTTGATTTTGAAAATGATTTAATAATTGATGACTTGATATGCTTTCTAGTTTCTATATTCAAACCATTTGGCTAACCTTAGCTGAATAGGCTGGTATTATTCTGGCCTGTGTTTGATTATTTGTTCTGGCTGAAGACCAGAAAGTTTTAGAACTTCTATTCTTTTTAATAAACTATTTCATTTCCATATGATAGTAGTAATGTATTAGGTAAAACTATTAGTTAATTGTTATAAATAAATTACTTTGAACAATTCGCCTAGTTTGTTTGAAACCCTGATTTTTGCATGCAGATGATTGCTTGTTAAAACAGCTTTTTGCCATTGTAAACTACCTATTACTGCCCACACAGAGATAATTTATGTTCCCCTATTATTTTTCCAGTGTTGTTTATAGGCCTTAACAAGTACTATCCTGTGATATTGTAAAGCACATAACTTAGCATATCGAGCAGCTAATTATATGTTATAATAATCCATGATAAACTGCTGATAATGCAGATTGTGTTATTTGGCTCGCACTTTTCAATATTATGATGATTAGATATGTTTTCATTATAGTTAATACTTCTGTGGCTTATGCTCTACAAAGCACAATTAATGTTGGTGCATTTGTTGCCTTGGTTCGTGGTATTCAAAGCATGATCTTACAGATTTTCTGCCAATTCACCTTTTCCGTTCTGTTGTGTAGATTTTTGAATAAAAGAATTTAAATTGCTCTATTGTATCGATGTCTGGAAGGTTGCTAGCTTCAGAATGCTAGCAAGGGTACATGAGATTAGGACAAAATGCCTAACAGAAATCGGTGGCCTGTGATGACAAGTTTGTTTACATGTTGCATACAAGCAATGATGGGTAATTCCGAATAATACATTACTACCATGTTCTAAAATAACTTGTACCAGATCATATTCTAGTTTTAATACCTGTGATCAAGTAAATAGTGGGAAAGGAATTCTTTCAACATATTGCTGGATTAGATATTTCAGAAAGCAAAATTGTAGAGATAATATTGTCTTCATCTTAATTTAAATGTCCTGAGAATTGGATTTTATTTGATAGCAGACAGGCATCTCCTGTGCTGATGAAATTTTACAATTTTTTTTTTACTTTTGTGCAAAAATTCATGTAATCCTACATTTCTACACCTTCCATATCCGCATATTAGGGTAAAATAAAATTAGGAAAGAATTGGCATTTCATTGTTGGGTGGGGGAGTATCGGAATAAAATCATCAGTAAATATTAGTTGATGGTTATTTTGATAATAAAGCTGGAAACACAAGAAAGCGTGCAATAGTCTTCATCGTTTTTACCGACTTTTTATTCTGAATTCTATTTTATGCACGCTGTGATTAATGTTTGATGTCTACCTCGTTTTCTTCTCGAGAATACGCAAGCAATTAAATGAGAGAGATATCTCCGAGTATGTTACTACAGGTCTCTGGCTGATGAATGAATTAATCGAAACACGAAAATCCTAATGGCATGTGACAGTAATGAATGCTGTAACTGGTAACCAAGCCATACAAATACAATACCAAGCTTGAACGCTGGTATCACAATGTGCTCAAACTATAGCTGGCACCCCACTCAATTAATTCCAACAGCATAACTATTAAGTGAGAGGTGAAAAAATTTATTGTCAAACCATTCAAAGCCTGGCCATAAACAGTTTATTTGAAATAATAAAATATTGCAACAAGTATTGAAACTATTGTGTGATAGAATTAAGCTGCAAAGTACAAGGAATGAAAACGTCATTGAAGTTTAACATAGGTTAACCAACCACAAAATTACTCGCAAATCACTTAGAAATATCTAGTAAGTTGGAATACTGCAGGTATCTTGCATCCAATAAGCCATACCGGTATTCCTTAACACGTAGCTTATACAAATACTGATGTGATACACAGGGTGACCAGAGAAAACAGAACCCAGGTCCTTCAAAACATATTCTAGAAAAAACCTTTCTATTCTAGAAACTTTTGTGCAGTCCCAGATCACTGAGGCTTTTGGGTACATTCATACACAAACAGAAGTTAAGTTTAAATAAATTTCATTTTTTTCGTAAATATAATTTAGAATTTCATAGGTTTTGTTTTCTTATGACACCGTGTATCTTTTTGGGCATCATGTTGTAGAGCGGCCATTGTGAGCAGCCCGTTTCTTCCTTTTACTTTTCAGTCCAAGCGAAGGAGGTGGTTTGAAAGCAGTTTCACATGTAGAGCAGATAGGACTAAACTGACAAAATATTGACAAACATACAGAACAGACAAAACCGACATCGACGAGACTACGATGACAAAAACAAGCAGCTCTGTAGTCAACACCACTTCTTTTTTCTGTTGATGAAGTCAGAGTTAAACTTTGTTTTCTAAGATCGGGATTGACAAGAAAAGCAGTCTGAAACAAATGCAATATTAAGTTATCAAAGAATCAGTTTTTGGACACAAAGTGTACATAAATGAATCGTTTTGTTATTATGTTTAATATGTTGTTGTTGTTGGTATTTTTCTTCTTGTTATGAAAAAATCTCTTTTTTCGTTTCATTAACTAATGGACCACTAACTTTGAAATTTTCAGTGACTAAAGATTATATTTATTTATTTCCAAACTTTATGTGGGCTCTTCGTGACTCGTTTTTCACTTCGAAATTTCATGTGATGAGCTCATCAAAATTAATAAAAATTATTTGTAGCGGTTCTGAGACCTTTATCGAGCTACTCGAAAGTCGGAAATATTTTGACCAAACCATAAAGTAGACTAGTTAAGGTACTGTTTAAAGTAAGGTTGACTACTGCTTCACTTTGGCCTTTGTATTCATATATTTGAGCATCGCACTCTCAAATGTTCCAAATATATTTCTGTGTGGGTCGAGGTGGCAGTAAATACACAAATTTAAATCCCATAACACAGTCTCCTGCATTCCCTCTTGTATTTAATTTTTTGCAGTCACCGCAACACTTTTAAAGCATCAACGCAGATTACACTGAAATCGACTGTCCAGACCCAACAACAAAACAACTAATGGCACAGTTTAAACAATATGTACTTGTCACTAGTAATAGAGTAATAATAAAAAAAATAATTGAATTTAAATTACCAATAAATACTGTAAAATGACTCTTGATTAGGAATCTTCATATATATCCCCCTGTCATGTCACATGCTTGTTGTAATAAACCAGAATCCTGCCCCAACACACAGGAATCGATCACAATTTGATGCTTTTGTGCTGAAATAATAAAAACATACCAGTTAAAGTCTCAATATGTAGACTATGTTTCACCGAGTATTGGCTAATGAATGCATTGAATCATTCTGCAAACAGCTAATAATGGCGAAAACTAATTTCTCAGTATGGTATGAATTTGTGATAAACCTAAAGAATCACAATGTGTTACCATATTTTTTCTGAACTTGTGTCCCAACGAGAACATAATCTGTCGGCCAAGCAAGCCAACTGTCTAGATACGAGTTTCCCAGCGTGTGCGTCATGACTCAATGTTGGCTTGCATGAAAATCCCCTTTGACTTTTTTTAAACAAAATCATAGAAGATATTGATTCTATTTTCTAAAATATGTCATTGTTTATTTTGTAATTAATATTGATTAATATTGTTTCAAAAACTTTCTGATTCGCAACGAGCGTAGCTTTTTCATTAGTGCAACTTTGAGGAAAGCTATGCTATGTAAAGCCAATCTGCATATCCCTTAACACACAAATTAACAAGGTGAACAACATTTCAGTTGGGATTCAGATTGTGGTCTGTTATTATACCTGTGGCTGCAACTGTATATCAAAAGCCATAAATACCTGCGAATATTACATTCATAAAACTCATATATTGAGCAGCGGCATCATCTGCAGCTTTGATGACAAGTATACGAGATCTTGTTTTCTCTCCCATTCGTGACTCCCTGTGTAATTTGTTGATATCTGGTTAACAAAAAGAATTGAAAGTTGGTTAAAAAGTGGAAAACCTGTATATGTGTGAAGAATGCTACCTGGTTACGTTTCCTTTGGTAGAAAAAAAACTATAAAGTCAGTCAACCTTATTAATATTCATATAATCAGATAATATAGTGATAACTCGCTAGTCAAACGACTCGACACTCGAACAAAAAATCCGAGTCAAAAACGCTGCGGTACTCAAACGGAAATTCAGAGCTTATTAAACACCCGGGCCGAAATGACGCCTCCAGAACCATGCATCTTGACCATTTAACAAGCATCAGTTCGAGTCGGAACATTAGTGGGATGATACATGTTGAATAAATTTTGTGATTTAGTGCTTGTTCTTGCCCTTTTTGCAGTTAATGAGGGCTCTAAAGAAAAGTCGTGATCACTGTATATCACACTAATAGCGAAACAAATAACAGTTTTTTCTCAATTTCAGCCCTTCACAGAGTTACCGTACATATCAAAACCTTCGAACCAATTTATTTCTCTGCCAGCATTGACCTGAAAAGCTATGCCAAACTACAGGTTTATGCATGAAATAAAGTGTTGACATCAGTTGACATGTAGCTCATATTGCATGAATGGTTGCTTGCAATTTCTATTAGTAATGAACTTGTGTTTAAATGAGGGCTTACAGCGTTTCATGAGACATACATAAAGCATAACATAAGTAGGTTGATATCAATATTTGCAACATTTAGAACTGAATTGAACACTCAAAGCTGTCACTCTCAAATAATCTGAAATTTTAAAGATGTAACTTACAGCAGAGTGCAACAGTCATAGATCCTGCGATTAGGGAATCACTTCGAATATTACTTTCATTTAATTTTGTAGTCATCAGTGATTTGAACTCTTCAATGATTGTGTCATTTATGGCCGTAAATTTTTGGTGATTTTCGCCATCTTTCTAAACAATATTTTTGGATAGACCAAATTATTAGAAAAATATAGGTGTACGCAAATAGAATACAGCATTAGTCTATCTTGGCTTTGAATAACAAATATTTTATTATGGAATTAGCCATGCGCTCTCTGTACTCGGGGGAGGCATTCCAGTTGGTGTTGCTTATAGGTTACTTATGTTATGTACATTTACTAATTATACATTTATACTGAGTTAACACATGAGGTTATAGCCAAATCTTGCGCTGCTTGATATAATAATAAGTTTTGTGGTATATATGTGGTAGAAAATATTTGTTAACATTATATAAATCGTCTTACTTTTTGAGATGACTCCTCTCGTTTGGGATATAAATATTTTCTGAAATAAAAAGATTGCACGAATGAAAATAAAAAACAAATATACAAAACTACTTGATATCCAATTTAATGTTCCATTAATATTTACCTGTATATCAAAAATGTTCTGTTTTTTTCCCTAAAATATACAATTAGATATAAAGAATAAGCACTAACGTTTGAGATGTGTGACTGGCCAAGACTGCCAGTTTATTTTCATGATGCAACATCATATAAGAATTCACAAAAAGTAGCAAACAATCCAAGCATCTTGTTATCTGTGCTCTCCCTTGTAATGCTTTCAAGCCCCACCATACTGGATTCACATCAAATATTATAACAAGAAGCTGACTATCTTCAGCCATATGAAATATATTTTGAGTTTATGCAACTGAAAACATTAGGCAGATTGAATAAAATTAATTGAAATAGCTCAATAAAGTCATTGTTTGAGTTGGTGTATTGTGGCAGTAGTTAAAACCGTTGGCCTATTACGAATTTGAACTAAATTTTTAAATTAAATCATATACGAGGTGTGGCTAAAAAGAAACGAGACTGACGTCACAGATTGCGCAACACGATTAACCATTGGTAATCAACACTTTTACAGTGTGGTGTAATATGTGTTCTTTGTTCAACAGCTTTTTTGACACAATATCGCAATTATTTTTGCTCTTTAGGAGCCATAGGTGAATGTGATTAATTGCTTGTTGAAAAAAAAATTGCCGTGCGAGATCTGATTGAGTTTTTTGGCGATAGGGGGTTCAATTGCAGAATGACGATTGAGCAATGAATTAACATTAAATTTTGTGTCAAACTTGGAAAAACGGCGACTGCGACTTGAAGAAATTGTGTGATGTTTATGGAGATTCTTCCATGTCCAGAACAAGAGTTTTTGAATGGCACAAGCGATTTGTGGGATGCAGGGAGGATGTGGAGGATGATTCGTAGTCAGGAAGGCCTTGCACTTCCACAACTGATACCAACATCGAAAAGGTATCAGTTGTGAGTTCAGTTGTGAAAGGCAGTTGATTCGCAGCGACCGTCGCTCAACAATTCGCGTCATTGCGAAGTTGGAAAAGACAAAAAAAAACGGTTCGCACCAGTTTGGTTGACACTTTTGGCTTGTGAAAGGTGAGTGCCAAAATGGTGCCAAGGCTGTTGACTGAGGAGCAGAAAGCTCAACGATTAAATGTTGCCCAGTTGACATGCATTTTTCCAAGTTTGACACAAAATTTAATGTTAACTCTTTGCCCAATCGTCATTCTGCAATTGAACCCCCTATCGCCAAAAAACTCAATCAGATCTCGCACGGCAATTTTTTTTTCAACAAGCAATTAATCACATTCACCTACGACTCCTAAAGAGCAAAAATAATTGCGATATTGTGTCAAAAAAGCTGTTGAACAAAGAACACATATTACACCACACTGTAAAAGTGTTGATTACCAATGGTTAATCGTGTTGCGCAATCTGTGACGTCAGTCTCGTTTCTTTTTAGCCACACCTCGTACAAAAAAACATTCAACAAATTAAATATTCACAACTAATCATAGGAGTTAATTGGAGAATCTCAAAATATAGAACCACGATGCGATACAGAATACACTCTATGACTATGACCGCACCGAAATGAAACTTTTGTGCCATTGAAAGCAAACATGGTACCACAAAAACATGTAGGTCTGAGAATGTAAAAATGTGTATTGTGTCAAAACTGATCTATGAGTATGGTGAAAATTTTCAACATACCTTTTTTTTACTAAAATTCATTCGCACTCAACATAAAAGACTTCATTCTCTAATTTTATCATAACATTATCAAACCATCCTATGTAATCATTATTCAATCTTATATAATTGTGTCTTATCATTGACAGCCAACGATATAACAAGAGATCGGGGATCTTTGACATTTTTATGACAATCTATTTTTCCATGAATAATATCTCCCTCAGACACATTCATACTTTCATCTAGAAAGAAGACAGCTTGTTTCCAGTGAGTGGGGGTACAACAAGGTGACGTTGAAAACATTAGGTCGCTTTTATCCGAATGATTTTGGAAGATGTCAAAATAGCCAGCAATAGCAGAAAATGATCCAGATTTTATTATTTTCAAAGAAAAATCAGATTTATAATTAAGATTTTTCGATTGAACATTTCCAACGTTAATTCTATGGACCACGCATGGTTCGGACATGACAGAAGAAGGATTTAACGCTTGAATTGTTGCTTCAGATAAAACTTGTTTTCGAAGACAAGACATTTTGAAACCATATACGTCTTTCCAAAAAGTGACATTGCTAGACACAAGTTTATCATCGTGAATGGCTATAAGAGATATTGAACAATGGTTAGGAAAAAGTTCACCAGTTGGAACAAGCCATTTATCCCTAGCATAAAGCACAGAATCAAGCATAGATTCATATAACAAAAAATAACCCATCCACTCGGAAATAATAATATCCACATTCGAAACAGGAAGATCAACTTCTTCTACACGACCTTTGAGTATCGTTATTCTGTCATCAAGATTATTTTCTTTGACAATATCCATTGCCTGAAACGCGATTTCAGACATATCAATGCCGTAAACGTGTTTTGCACCTGCTTTTGCAGCAAACATAGATAATATTCCAGTTCCGCAGCCAACATCTAATACAATTTTATCCATATAAAACGCTCTTTGTTGTTAAATATGACATCTTTATATGAATTTGTTCTGACAGTATCTTGAAGCATTTCGGCATGAATATCATGATGTGAGTATGTTCCGAAATAACCTGAGTCTTCATATTCTTCTTCTTCATAAACAGAAGTATCTTGACGACACGCTGCAACAGGACGATATATACCCACGTCTCCTGTGAGTATAATATCCCTGCATGAAAGATTTCATTTGCGAAATTTGATTCGATGCTGCTGTCAATTTAATAGATAAGTTTTCCCTTTCTTTTTCACTTTTTTTAAGCTTTTCATGAAGAATTTGAATTTCAGACATTTTGTTATCGCCATCACGATTATTTGATATTGTCGCATTTAGATTTGACGTAAAATCAATTTCATCATCGCTGTCAAAATCCGATCCATCGTCGAGCATAAACCGCAATAGGGGATCATTTTCTATAACTGGTTTGAGGTAATCGTCAATAACCCACTCAGATTTTTGAGCACTCAACTCCTCACTCGAAGGTGGGGATTTTTAAAATTTTTTTTCTCAAAAAGTTGATTACTTTTACATAACTGAAAAAGTCTAACGATAAGTCACAAAGAGCGATCTGCCAGATATCAAATCCATGGTTGTTCTTCAGTGCAGTGTAATATGCTAACGGAGATGAAAAGGGTTCACCTGTAAAGATACAAGTCACTTGATCATCTGTGTTGTCCACATCAAGCTCCTCAAATGAATCATCATCACTTTCATCGAGAATGGAGCAGCTTGGGTCTTGCATGTGGCCATTTTGTGTTTGAAGTTCTGAATTCTAAAGTCTGTTTGAAAGCTTTTACTGGTCTCAATAATCGCTGTAGTCCTATGTTTCTTTCTGTTTTTAAAAACAATAAAGAAATAAAAGATAGCAATTGCGACAGCACTGTTTTCTACATTCCCACCCATCATTGCCTATAGATTTTTAATTTATTCTAGCGCATTGCAATCATTTTTCAAAAGA